CTGTTACGTCAGCGATTGTAGCGATGAGTCCATTAGCGAGAGCTCTGCCTGCCTGGTTAGCGCGGGCCAGCTCTTCGCGGTGGCTCATACGCACAATCAGACTCGGCTATGCGATTCAGTTCGCGAAACGGCCCCCCAAGTCACGGGTGTGTATTCACCAGGGTCAGCCCCCTGTCCGCCCCTGTCTTGCGAGAGGAGATTGCTGTCCTCCTGGCGAAGGATGCAATCGAGCCGCTCCCTCCAGCCGAGATGGAGAGCGGGTTTTACAGCCCACGCTTCATCGTGCCCAAAAGAGCGGTGGGTCACGGCCAATCCTAGATCTGCGCGTTTTGAACCGCTGCCTGCACAAGCTGCCGTTCAGAATGCTCACGCAGAAGCGCATCCTCCGGTGCGTTCGTCCTCTGGGTTGGTCTGCAGCATTAGACCTGATGGACGCGTATTTCCATGTCTCCACTCTTCCTCGCCACCGACAGTTTCTGCGGTTTGCGTTTGAAGGTCGAGCTTGGCAATACAAAGCCCTCCCCTTCGGGCTCTCTCTGTCTCCGCGGGTCCTCACCAAGCCCGCGGAGGGTGCCTCAGCGCCCCTTCGGCTCGCGGGCATCTGCATACTCAATTTCTTTACGACTGGCTGATTTTTGCCCTCTCTCAGAGCAGTTGATTATGCACAGAGACAAAGTGCTCTGGCACTTCCACCCGTGGGGGTTTCAGGTCAACCGAGAAAAGAGCAAACTCGCCCCCGTGCAGAGGATCTCTTCTCTCGGGCTGGAGCTGGACTCGGTCACCATGGCAGCGCGCCTCTCCGGAGAGCGCGCTCAGCTGATGCTGTACTGTCTGAGAGAGCTCGACAGTAAAATAGTGGTCCCACTGAAACTATTTCAGAGGCTCCTGGGGCATATGGCATCCGCAGCCGCTTCATGCCGCTCGGATTATTCTATATGAGACCACTTCAGCACTGGCTTCACGATCGAGTCCCCAGACGCGCATGGCACGCGCGCGCACACCGAGTCTCTGTTACTGCGCTGTGTCGCCGCGCCCTCAGCCCTTGGAGCGACCCCTCGTTCCTACAGACCTGGGTGTCTCTAGAACAGGCGTCCAGTCTTGTTGTCGTTTCAGCAGACACTTCCAACACGGGCTGGGGGGCTGTGCGTTGCGGGCATGCGGCTGCGGACCTGTGGAAAGGTACCCAGTTGCATTGGCATATCGCCTGGAGCTGTTGGCAGTGTTCCTCGCTCTCCACCGTTTTTTTCCGGTGCTGGAGCGGCAACACCTGCTGGTCAGGACGGACAGTACGGCGGCGGTGGCGTATATCAGCCGTATAGGGGGTATGCGCTCTCGCCGCATGTCTCAGCTCGCCCGCCGTCTGCTCCTCTGGAGTCATCCGCGGCTGAAATCGCTGCACACCATTCATATTAAGGCAAGCTCAACCGTGCAGCCGATGCGCTCTCACGGCAGCCTTGCGTCCTGGAGAATGGAGACTCCACCCCGAGTCTGTTCAGCTGATATGGGCGCGATTCGGGGAAGCCCAGATCGATCTGTTGCTTCCCCCGAGATCGCTCATTGCTAGTTGTTCTTTCCCTGACCGAGTGCTCTCGGCACGGATGCACTGGCTTACAGCTGGCCTCGGTGCACGCGCAAATACGCGTTTCCCCCAGTGAGCCTGCTCGCGCAGTTACTGTGCAAGGTCAGGAAGAGGACGAGGAACAGGTTGCTGGTTGCGCCCCTCTGGCTCAACCGGACCTGGATGTCAGAGCTCTCCCTCGCGATAGCCCTCCCCTGGCAGTCCCTTCGAGAGAGCACCTACTCTCTCAGGGACAGGGCACCACCTGGCACCCTCGCCGATCTTTGAAGAGATTGTAGACGCGAGGAAGACTTAGGTAACCTCCGATTGCGGTGGCTAATACCGTCACTCGGGCTAGAGCCCCCTCCCCGAGCGCGCCTATGCCCTGACGTGGAGTCTATTCACTGAATGGTGTGTCTCTCGCTGAGAAGACCCCCGTAATTTGCCAGATCAGCGTTGTGCTTTCTTTACGCCGAGAGAAGCTGGAGAGCAGGCTGTCGCCCTCCACACTCAAGGTTACGTGGCTGCCATCTCCGCTCTCATAACGCGGTGGCTGGCAGCACCGTGGGAACGCATAACCTCATCATCCGGTTCCTCAGGGGCGTTAAGCGAATTAATCCACCCCGCCCCCTCTCATGCCCTCTTAGGATCTCGCCCTCGCTACACAAGCCGCGTCAGATCCCTTCGATCCTCGACTCAGTATTTTCTGTCCCTGAAGACAGCTCTGCTGGTCGCGTTGATATCGATTAGAGGGTCGGGGACCCGGAGGCATTTTTCGGTCAGTGACTCGTGCCTGTAATTGGGCTGGCTTCTCTCACGTATGAGACCCCGCCCGCGATATGTGCCCAAGGTTCCTACCACTCCGTTTTAATACGAGGTAGTGAGCCTGCAAGCGCTGCCCTCGGAGGAGGCAGACCCAGCCCTTCTTTATTGTCCAGTTCGCGTTTTGCGTATTATCCGGACCGCACTCAGAGTTTAGATCATCTGAGCAGCTCTTCATCTGTTATAACGGTCGGCAGCAGGGAAGTGCCGTACCGAAATAAGTTCCCACTAGATTGTGGATGCCTTCTTTCACTATCAGAGCCGAGATGAGCCGCGTCCCCCGAGAGCGCGTGCGCACTCCACTCGGAGTTTCGCATCCTCTCGAGCGCGCGCACGCGGCGCCCCTCTAACAGACTTCTGTAGAGCTGCGGGCTGGGTGACACCCAACACATTTGCAAGGTTTTACAATCTGCGAGTGGAGCCGGTTTCCTCAAGGGTATTAGGTAACCCTTGGTGATTGAGGAAACAATTCGGTAGGGTGTTGAAACACGCTTGCTGCGCCATTTTCCCTAACACGGAGATACGTGCGCCTTTTTATCTGTCAGTAAAGTTCCCCGTCAGGTGAGCCCTGCAGATTCCTCCGTGGCCCCCAGCACTGACTCAGCGGAGGAGTCACTTGCTGGCCCACTACGTTGTAGGTCTGCCCGCTGGTCAGCCCGCGTTTTGGGTAAAGGTGCCTGCTATGCGTGATCCCCACTAGGCGATCCCATATGCTTATTCCGCCACGGTTAAGTCCCCCCCCTGGGCGGACCCGTGTCTTCCCTCCCCGCTAACCACTCTTTTGCTATGCGTACTCCCCCTTTTTAGGGCTAGTCCATATGTAAATTCTGCCATCTATCCCCCCTCGGGTAACGGATGGCCTCCGCAGCGTCCTCCCTATCGGGATTGCACGCTTCCCAACGTACTGTCGTATTTCCTAGAATTATCTAGATGCTCACGACTTCCCAAAAAATATATCTAAATCCGTAAAACTTCTGTTGAAGTAGGATAAATTAGGGCCAGGGACACGTTGGAGGACCGCGCCCCCCATGATGTGGGTGCGTCACGCTTGCTTGACTATCTCCTCATCGGGGGTGTTGGTAAGGTGCAGTCATTATGGCGCTTTCAATGGGCTCCCAATGCGTGGATTTTACAAATCAAATCCACTTATAGTGCTGAAGTTCCCCCCGAAGGGGAACGTTCGAGGTTACTAAAGTAACCCTTCGTTCCCCGAGGAGGGGAACGGAAGCACTATACTCCGTCGCCATAATGACTGTCCCTTAGCTGTTGAAAGTCTCTTCAGCTTAAAAAGGATAGCGTCTGCTGGCGCCAGGTGAGCTTATATACTCAGTTGATTGCTTATGCCGCTCACCTGCGCAGGCTTGCGCTGCCAATTCATTCTTAATTGGCCCGTTCAATACTCTTTCAGACGAGTAGCTTCTGAACCGAACCTCCCAATGCGTGGATTTTACAAATCAAATCCACTTATAGTGCTTCCGTTCCCCTCCTCGGGGAACGAAGGGTTACTTTAGTAACCTCGAACGTTCTTCCTTGAGGGTCTTTTTTAGATTTCGCAATGCTTTTTGATATGTTTGTCCACTCTAGTAAGGATATCTCACCAAGACTGGACTGGTTTTGTTCAAAGACACAATACACAATGTTTTGAGACAGAACCCACTTACTATAGACCTCTAGACCTTCAAAATGAAAGACAAAACACTTGAGTGTTTTGGGAAACAGGGTCAGTCTTTTCAACTTAACAGAGAGAGAGGGAGAGCATGGCTTCATGCCAAAGACACCCAGACACTCTGATTGTAAAGTTACAGTGAGCAGTGAAGTAAGAAATTGTCGATTTGAAAACATACAGTGGATAAATTGACAATATTAATTGTAGAGAACATACTAGGATTTTTACTGTTGATGGTAAGCCTTTTGTACACAAAACATATTTTTACATGGTACTGTTATTGCAGATCATTTGTTTGTTTTTGACAAAATTTGACTTTATCCTATTTTGTTATGTTGCTGTTCTTGTTGATGTCGCTGTACACAACTTGTTACATGAATTTGTGACCGTTGGTTGGTGAAATATTTGCCACATCTCTTCTGTACTGCGATTGGATAGCTGACATGAAAACATGAAAAGCATTGTGTTTTACTTAAAGCTGAACAATGCAAATACTTGATCATGTTCATAGCTTTTAAAAAACTTTGGCAATCCCACTTAAAACTGTAAAAAAAAAAAAAAGATGCTGGCCTTTGAATAAATCAAACCAATAAAAAATAAAACTTTGTTTGATTTGTTCCCTAATAACAACTAGGATGGCAACAATTGTACACATTGTAGTTGCACATTGTGTGTTTTTCACTTTCTTTCCTTATGTGGAACACAAAGAAAATTCTTAGTGTTTTGAAAGGCAGTGGAAGTCAAAGGGGTTCAGTGTTGTTTTGTTACCGACTGATTTTCGATTTGCGGACCAAATTACATTTTTATGTTTTGTGTTTGAAAATCATGAGTTTAAATGACAGAATATAGATTTCGTGGTGTTTGTGTGTGTGGGTTATATGCATGCAGCTTTAATGTTTAAAAATGAGAATGATATGCATCTTATCCGACATCTAAACAGCTCTTTTTTTCTAGGTAAATCTCACTTGGCAATAGTCCAGCGGGTCAACAACGAAGGAGAAGGTGATCCATTCTATGAAGTGCTTGGCATCGTCACCCTGGAGGACGTCATTGAAGAAATCATCAAGTCTGAAATCCTGGATGAGACAGACTTATATAGTATGTGCCATGAACGTCTTGTATTTTTGCATGTTTTTGTATTTTTATTAAAGAAATGGAGCTTAAACAGTACATGTAAAATTATAAAAAATTGCACTACTGTATAAGGGATGCTTCATTAATGTTTGAACTAAATATTTATTATCAAGTAGTCACCAGGAATAGTTTATGACAAACAAAACGTGTCATCTATGTGTTTCAAAAGCTATGCCACTTTACATTTCTAATATATGTTTTTTCCTGAATAGTGCACAGATTCAAATCATGCAGACTATAAAGGCCCGGGTATACTTGAAACAAAGTTCTTTTTTGTTATTCGTTTAAGATCAAGAAGAAAAGGCTTGTAATGGTATACTGTTTTTGAATCTTCCAAAACAGAACCAAATATACTCAAGCCTCCAGTCTGTTCATGTTGCTAACTTTATTTTGATGGTCCATTTGAGTATTAGTAGACTGCTTAATATCTGTTGATACTGATCCTTCAACAGACATTTAACTAACTTTAAGACACTTTGCAAGTACATGTCAACATGCACTAACTCTAACCCCAACCTAACAGTCTACTTGCAATGTAATGAGAATTAGTTGGCATGTAGATGCAATGTAGCCTTATATTCAACATACAGGCCACCATCAAAATAAAGTTTGACCTAAATACATCCCTCAATCACATTCTCGTCTCGCTTTTTTATTAGTCAATGAAAATGTCAGTATATTTTGTCAGTGGCGGTTCAAGTTTAATTGGCACCCTGGGTCAACCACCCCCTACGGATACCCTTCTAGCCGCAACCCAGTTATTGCTTGTTATTATTACCCTGTTATTAGTAATATACAATTATTATTCTCAATAAATAACAGAAATCAATCCTAAATGTAACTGGAAAACAATTTAAAGAAAGACACGACTGGAGTGATATGCAAAGACCACTTAAGAAAACTTTAGCATGAATATTAATGACAATTTTATAGAATACAAAAAAATACATATGCTTTATGGAATTATATGTTGTCTTTGACCCAACTTATGGCTGAGAAAGTCTTACCTCCCTGACTCATTATCCCTCCTTTCTGCTTCATAGCCATGCTTAGTCAAAATAAGATCATCATATAAACTTTTAGTTTTGTCAACTTGCAAAACTCGCTGCATGCTGACATCTCTGCATAAAAGTTACACTAGTTACTCCAGTTTCACAGCACATAGATGCACATATTTTATCGGCATGACTGTAAACAACCAGGATTTACTGCACCGGGAGCAGAGCAACGTGTGAGGTGCACGGGAATCGATTTCTGTGTGCATGCGTCAGTTTGATTTCACCAGCGTTGTTTCGGTTGCACATAGAGAGTAACAAGCTTGCGCATGCCAAAGACGCTAAATGTGAATGGCCCCTAACGTCTTTATTCTGGGATTAACACTCTGAATCAATATACCTGCATAAAGTAAATAGTCTCTCAAAGCTTTTACTGGGGCTCGTTTTTTCTCCCCGTCTCCCGTGCCGCCCCCCAACAAGATGCCGCCCTGGGCAATTGCCCATATTGCCCATGCCTAAATCTGCCACTGTATTTTATTATAGTTGTTGTCATCATCACTTGATTTTTGTTTCATTTTCAAGTATTTTTCATCTTTAGAAATGTGTTTGTCTAAACTAAATTAACACTAGTTCCAGAACAAACCCACTGATTGCATTATTTTCACTGAGTAATGGTGGATCAAAGGTATTTAGGAGCCAACCTCCCCCCAAAAGTTAGCTTTGGTGAGTCGTTTGGAATTGGTGAATTGAGCTCAAAACTTTTTTTGTTTTTGTTTTTGATTTTTTTTTAAAATTACATTATTTCAGTTCAATTTAGTTTGAAGTATACCAGGGCCTTATTGCCTAGTTCTCTTTAATGCACTGTATCTTACTGACAAAAAGAGCTAATGTCAAAACATTTTATTTTTTTAATGCCCCTTTTAAACATTCTGTTGACAATAAGTAATGTTTCACCCACAGTTGTTGCACCTACCAATTGTCATTAGAGTATTACTAGACTATCCGCTTAAAGGGGTAGTTCACTTAAACTTAAAAATGACTTACTGATTACTCTCCCTCCAGTGGTTCCAACTGTTTCTTTATTCTGTTGAACACTAATGATATTTTGATGAAAGTCACCATTGACTTCCATAGTAGGAAAACAAATATTGTGGAAGTCAGTGGTAATCAGTTGCCAGCTTTCTAATTTTGTGTTTGACATAAGTAGAGAAGTGAAACATGTTTAGAACAAGTGAAGGGTTAGTTAATGATGACAGAATTTTCATGTTTGGGTGAGCTATCCCTTTAATATCTGCTTACACTGTAAAAAGGGATTAGTCACTTAAAGCGAGTAAACAAATTGCCTTAAAAGCAACAAGTTGACTTTACAAAAATAATGTAACTCATTGTAACTTGGAACTGTTGACTAAATTTTTATAATTATGCAAATTGTATGCTTTTAAAGTTTCTTTTTGCAGTGTCAGACTATTTAGCGCAACTGTTTTCTAATAATTGCTGTAATTATTACAATATTGCATATTTGGTGCTTCATTAAGTCGATAAAATCTCCAATTATAGCTTGCTCTGAATATAAAAAACACACTGGAGTCTGGAAGAGCAGATTTATTTTACTGTATGTCATTTTGCTAGATATAGAAAAGCTGTACAGAAAAACACATATAATAGGGGTGTATTGGAGCAAAGTGATTAGTTTACTTCTATTTTAAAATATTAAGTACAATTTGCAAATCAACTTAACAATTAGTTTACTTACATTATTTTTATAAAGTCAACTAGTTGCTTTTGAGACAATTGGTTTACTCGTTTTAAGTAACTAAGCACTTTTTACAGTGTAGTTATCTTCTTCTGGTGATCTCCCAATAGAAATTCTACCGACTGCAAGCATCTCTTCAAATACAGGTCAACCTATTGTAACTCTAGCCCTACCAGTCCTCTATTAGTATACTTATTATACACTCTGTACTATACATATAACTTATAATCACTCTATGTCTTATGAAAGTTAGTAGACATGTAAATGTACTTACAATTAAAAGCATGTGTCAAAATGTTGGATTGGATGTATTTAAATTTGGCATATTTTGACTGTTCTTGGAAAGAAACTCAGGAATACAATCAGTGTTTTTAAGGGAGTTCAAAAACTGCTAAATGATAAAGAGTGTAACTCCCTGCTGAGTGGACTTTGTGCTTTGCAACTTTGCAGTTTTTTTTTTAATGCTCTCATCATTGCGCACCTAAAGGGGGTTTGAATTCTAAAAAGAGGAATAGGACACCTTTAAGTTTCAACAAAATGCATTCAGTTTTCACATTCAATTAGCTTAACGTTAAACAATTGTAAATATTTTTACATATGAGGCAAGATGCTTTACACATGTTACAATCTTTTTACCTCTGCCATCCCACTTTTCAACAGCTGACAACAAAACAAAAAAGAAAATCACCCATCGAGAGAGGAAGCAGGATTTCTCAGCTTTCAAGCACATGGACAATGAAATGAAGGTTAAAATATCACCTCAGCTTCTACTGGCTACTCTACGTTTCCTAGCAACAGGCAAGTGTACTGCATTGCTGCTTGATTTACCCCAGTGTGTCCTGTGACTGTAGTTTGCTCACACAGAGGAGGAGCTTGGCCTCTGGTTTTTGGTAAAAGTCGTGCCATGATGTTGATGTTTTTTTGTTTTTTTCTTTGCTCTGCATTCTTAGATTTGCATTAAGAAAGCAGCTTGTTTGTGTAAAACCCTGCAACAGCTTGGGGAAGGAATAAAAAACATCTTTGATGCTGACAGAAAAGTTTCTCTGTCACTTTATGTTACATAATGTGTGTCACTCAGAAAAAGAAAACAAATTTGGTGTAGAATCAAGGCTTCTGTTGTTGACAAAAGGTTTTAGATAGCATCTTAGATTAGCTTAGTAACAGTCTAGTAGAATAGTCCAAGATTTAGTTTTTTAAAGAGGTTTAAGTGTACCCTGAGGTTTTAGTTCAACATAGCCCAAAGATCATGTGTCATACCATGCTGTAGGTTTACCGCAATTTGGAAAATTCAGGGTTTTATAACTGCTAAAGTCTTCTGTTTTACCATTCCTATGGTATATGTAATTTTTTTAAATAACCATTTTATTTAGTTTTTTAGTGCAACAGTATCTCCAGCAGAAAAGGACCTTACACATCAAAATTGAAAAACAAATCACTTTTATACCAACATCCAGGCATGCTTTGGACCTGAACAGTGCAGTGGTTTACTTTATATTTAAAGAAAATAAAGATATTGCTTTTGTTTTCTTTATATTTCAAGTTGTAAAAAATGAATGTTTTTGAAACTGATGATAGCTGGTCAATGATTTATTTTATTAATTTAGCCAGATTAGTTTACTAATTCAAAATATTTTAAATGTATTTAAGATAAAATATATTGCGTTCAATGGGAAAAAAAGTTGTTGTTTTTTACTCAGACATCTGAAAAGAATATATTTTAGAGCAGTAATAACAATATCATGAAACCGTGATATTTTTATTCAAGCTTTTCATATCGTCAGAATTTTATACCAGCCCATGTCTACTGTAGATGTCCATTTCTGAGTGGGTGCAAAATACATCTTTTTTTTGTCTCTTCAAATGCAAATGAGCTGTATATCCCTCCCTCTTTCCAGTAAAAGGTGGAGCTTTTACAGCCGTGTCTCAGACAGTTTATCTTTTTATCATGTCTCGATGACATGACATTGCAGTTCATCATCATCATGAAAGTTTATTATCTGCATGCTTTTTAAAATTGTCAATCGATCCTTGTGTTATCGTTTACTGAGCACACACAATCAAAGAGAATGCTGGTTTCAAATGGTGCATATTGTGTATTAAACATCATTTAGTCTTGTATAAATGCACATTTATAATTTTGTCTCTAAATTATTTAAATTTTACCAGGAAAATTACAATTTTAGTTGCAGCATATATAGCACTAAAAAGCCATTAACCCCACTCCTACCTCTAAACTATTTCTAAATTGTAATCATTTCTTTTTAAAGGGTCATGAAAATATACAAAATTCACTTGTGTCCTTCAAATAAAATTCTGAGGTAGACATGTTTTGAAAGAGGGGGGTTCTTTCAGTACAAGTCTACCTCAACATTTTTATCCCAAATTTTAGTGTAAATTCTGAAAGACATTTATTATGCTCAGCTAGCCATTTATTTGTTTATTAGTTTCATGTTGCATTTATTTGGTTTGAATTAAAGCAGTACTATTGTGAACTTTATGAACAGTAATATTGTGAACTTTGTGAGTTTATTTCAGTATATTTTACAACTTTTTTTATTCCCTTGAAAGCAAAGCTAAATATTCAGCATTATTACTGAAGTCTTCTGAGCCATATGATTCTTTGTAACTCTTTTTAATGTGTCAATATGCTGCTCAAGAAACATTTAATCAAATCCATGTTTCAGAATTATTTGATGAATCAATTTTAAAAGAGCAACATATGTTTGAAATTATTAATCACTAAATTTTATGAAAATCTTTTTTTATTTTTGTATTTTTTTTTTACTTTTGATCAAATCATAGAGAACCCTATTTTAAAATTCAAAATCCTCAACAACTTACAAACAGACAGACAGACAAACAAACAAACAAACAAACAAACAAACAAACAAACAAACTAACTAACTAACTAACTAACTAACTAACTAACTAACTAACTAACTAACTAACTAACTAACTAACTAACTAACTAACTAACTAACTAACTAACTAACTAACTAACTAACTTTGTCTTGCAAACTAAAAACAAATTGCAAACAATAATGTTAAAATAATTTGCTGCGTTTTGAATATTTAACATTTAATAGTTTGAATTATGATTCGAACAATAAATCCAGACGGTCTAACAGCTGTTAGTAAAGGCAGACATACTGGAAGAAATGTGCTTAGGCTAGAAAGTAAGTACATACTAGCTAGATATAAATATAATAAAGTAGCTAGATTTAAATAAATTTATTTTTAATGATTATTAAAATGGTAAAATTGCTTGTCAATAATTTGGTTTATCCTCAATTTATAGTATGTTTTGTCTAAAACTTTAATTTCATTTCGACACAAGTTAGATTGATCCCTCATAAATCTTTGGGGGTTCTAGTAGGGATTGTAACCCCTAGGTTGGGAAACACTTAATTCAACTCTGTTGTTGTTGACAATGTACACAATGAATGAGAATTTTAAAAAAAATGTGTATTATTAATATAACAGTAAATCATTTGAAAATCAATTACATAAAGTTGATAACCAAGGATGATAACCAGCAACTGAAAACCTTTATGAAATGAAACAAGAATTATTTAGTGAAATAATAAGTGTCCATGATAACAAACACTGATAAAAAAAAAAAAACCTTACAGATTTAAACTTTAGAATAATAGTGTGAGTCAAATAAATATTATTTTCTATACTGTATTACCAGTAAAACATAAACTAAATAATAAACTTTATTTTACGCTGGACAAAAAGCTTTCATTTGTCCAATTTAAAAAGATTAGGGTAATGGTTCACATATAAATTATATCAAGCATGCAGTAGGTGAGGCTCAAAACTGTTTGAGGTGTATGTCATGATGTGGATGTTGATTGTATACTAAGGTTTAGGCTATATTTAGAAAGTGGTGGCCTGCTTGGTTAGTGTAAAAAAAGAGATTGATCAGCATCTATAGAAGCCTTGGAAAAACTACAGACAGCTTAAATAGGAACTTAGTTATTTTTTTGTTTACAGTCTTACATTGCAGTTGACATTCTGTTTATATTTTAGCTGTTTCATTGTGTCCATGTCTTCTAAATATCATCTTAAAAATAAAATGCTTGCTTAAAAGGATGGTTTTGCCATTCTGCCATCATTTTGTTCCAAAGGTTTTACTATTATTTTGCTTTTGAACACAAAATAATATGTTATTACAAGGCATTATTACTGGTAATCAGCAAGCATGTATTTAAAAAAAAAAAAAAAAAAAAGTACTGTTTTGACTTTTTATTCATCAAAGAAGGCTGGAGAGTAAAAGTTCAACAAAAAACTGCATAACTGTTTAAACATTAGTGATAAATGTTTTTGGGTGCCAAAAAAACATGTTTAAATAATTTATGAAGGATTGTGTTACATTGAAGGCTGAAGTAATGGATGCCAAAAATTCCTAAAGAAAACAAAAATAGTTTTAAATGAATGTAGAAAACATTTTTTAATAAACAACGCTTTTATTACTGTTAAAATGAATTTATTGATCAAATAAATGCTTATGAGACTTTAATATGAAGTGTCCCTTGACCCCAAACTTTTAAATGGTTTAATGTGCATGATATTTGTGTATCTTTGCTGTTTTCTGCATTCTTGCAGGACCATTCAGGCATTGGCACAACTTCCTAAAAGTCATTTCCATTTGCTTTACCATCCATCAGTTCGCTGTTAAAGGGTCCCAAGTGTATTTGTGTTTAATAGAGACAAACGGGCATGCCAAACATTTTGTGACCGGTATTCCCCTTTAAAACCTAATTGAAGGATTTGTTGAGAACTTTCTCCTCGTGGCTTACGCTAATCATTGATTAACAAATACAATACTATTAGCATTTCCCGGTCAAGCAGTGACCAGCTGCAAGGTGACACACATACTGTAAACAGAGCAGTGTTACAGTCAGATATTTAGCAACATACAGTACAACCAACATAAACAGCCTATATTACTGATCCATACAGTCACAGAATGTCACAGATACTAGTTTTAGAACAAATATAAAAACCTGAGCAGATTTAATCACAGATGTTTTTACAGATAGACAGGATACACAGTTATTAAAGGCATAGCTCATCCAAAAATAAAATATATTTGCCATTTACACATTTTCCTCATGAGGTTCAGGCACTTTGAGTTTTTTTTTAACCACTGCCGGTTGCCATTAGGATAAATAATACAGAGGAATTCAATAGCTAATGGCTTTTAGCTTTTTTTCAAATAATCTTTTTTGTGTTGTTTATGAGAAGAAACTCAAATGGGCTTAGAACAAGTTGAGAGTCAGTAAGTTCACTTTTTTTTTTAGATGTGCATGAACTATCACTATTACAGTACTTTTGACCAAAAGAGTGCATTGGTGTCAACTATGGCTGCACGATAATGGAAAAATCTGACATGGTAAGGTTTTGTTTTCATGTGACATACTGTATATTGCCATATGAGTACAATTTCACCAGATGACTTAATTATTTGTATTTGTAAAGAATTAATCATTTTAGTTTAATTGGTAGGATTAATGGAAGTGCATCTGCATAAAATACAATAAACAATCTTCAAGCACAGATAAAAAACAATAAAGAAAAAGATGCAGTACATAGAAAATGAACAGTGTTTTTTTTAATTTGACAGTTTTTTGAGCCTAACAGTATTCAGTTTGAGTAACTGAGCAATCACATATAAAGAAAAATAGTGCAGTCTTTATTGTAGAAATTCAACAAAATTAATTCTTATTAAAGTTACAAATGGTAGTTTCCTTTGCCCAAATCAAAAACACATGCAATTGATAAATGATAATCCAGACTCAACATTGCAGATCTTGGGATGTGAGTTTGCGAATGATCACATTGTGATGTCAATGCTGAAAAGAGATTTTGTGCAGCCCTATAGCATCAATCCACATTTTATAGGAGCTCTAGAAATTTGTTCCAGTAAATAAGCACTTAAAAAACATTTTATTTAAAACATTATTATCCAGGAACCACATCAACAAGCTTAGTTTTGAAGCAAAAATGAGCATGACAATTGACAAAAATAAGGGAAAGAAGTATAAATGAAACAATCAAATTCCTAAATTCATTCATTCATTCATTTACTTTTAGGCTTATTCCCTTTATTAATCTGGGGTCGCCACAGTGGATTGAACCATCATCTTATCCAGCATATGTTTTACGCAGTGGATGTCCTTTCAGCTGCAATCCAGCACTGGGAAACACCCATACACTCTCATTCTCACACATACAATATGGACAATATTAGCCAATTCACCTATAGCGCATGCATTTGGACTGTGGGGGAAACCGGAGCACCCCACATAGAAGTGTTAACTGACCCAGCCGAGGCTCAAATCAGCGATCTTCTTGCTGTTAGGTGACAGCGTTACCCACTGCACCACCGTGCCGCCCACAAAATTACAAAATTAAATATCAATTTTTTATCATTTACTATGACGACACTGCAGGAAATTTCATGGTAACTACTAGCAGGTTGAGCTAAAGATCTGTACTTTGCTCTCTGTCACTCTCTGATTAGTAAATTTTCTCTACACTACTATGGGTATTGTTGTTTTTATGCACAAATTTCACTATTTTCTTCTCACATTATTGGTTGATTGCTAATTAGGATAGCTATTTGTTTCAGCTGTGTTGTGGTAAAAATGCTAAAAAAAAAAAGTGTTTTTATAATGCTCAACCTGATGAAGATCATGTAGTACATGCTAACCTAATAAACAGTTTTTATGTTGACTGTGTTATGTTTACTGTTTTTGAGAGCAACAGTTATTTTTATCTTAATAAAATATTTAACAGTTTATTTGATAGCCTATTTTTGTTTGTATATTATTCATATTTCACTGTTAACTATTTTATTCAATTATTGCAAACTGATGGGCACAACAAAACCATATACAAAGTATTACAATTTGTCTTTAAATGTTTATATATATCAGTTTTATATCAGTTTTCCAAAGGAGATAATGAATGTGTTTTTTACTTCTGGAACTCGACTGTTGTGTTCTTCTATATATTGTTCAATTAAAAAATTTGAAAATCAACTAGAGAGTTCATTATTATCTGTACTTATTGTTTATAAAGGTCTTAAGTTTACAATTTCAACTTCAAAAAAAAAAAAAAGGATCAACATTATGAAAATAATGATCATCTTTTCTTTTGCTTTACAGAAGTTGAGCCATTCAGTCCCAGCCAGATGTCCGAAAAGATCCTTCTGCGTCTCCTCAAACACCCCAATGTCATCCAGGAGGTCAAATATAATGACAAGAATAAAAAGGCCATCGAACATTACCTCTTCCACCGCAACAAGCCTGTGGACTATTTCATCCTCGTCCTGCAGGTCAGCTTGTTTGTTTGGTCCAGGGCCGTGGAGGGCATAGAGAAAGAACGGATTGAGGTTATTAGCCTAGAACAAGCTGGGATTTTCGCAAGTATTTAACACCCCCAGTTTGAAACCTAGGGAAAATTGGTTCAGTATTGTGATAGAGAGACTTTTCTACTTAAATTTGCTGAACATAACAGTTGTTGTTGGCTCTATTGAAAGTCTGGTCTTCAATGTGATTGTTCTCTAAGGGGAAAGTGGAGGTGGAGGCAGGCAAGGAGGGACTGAGGTTTGAAGCTGGAGCTTTCTCTTCATATGGGATGATGGCTCTCACTGCTTCTCCAGGTAAACATTATTAAATGCAGATGTCTGTCATTTGGTTGGCCGAATACCAATTTGCACTTTTCTGCATTCTATATATCTGCTAAAATATATTTAAGCCTCTATTTTAGATTAGTATATTTGTATTTGGGGTGTATGATATTGATCAAAGAAACAAAAACTGTTTTGGGGATTTTCTTCCATGTAAAATTAGACTCAATTTTATTGTACCTCTATACCTTAGCCTGGCTCAGGCAGGTCATCAATAAATAAACAAAATACTAAAATCACCTATAGTATTTGGATTTGAACTTATCAAATAGGATAGTCATTGATTAAATGGGATAGGTGATGGCAAGTACATGTCTTAAAGGGTTTGTTCACCCAAAAAATTTAAATTCTGTTATTAATTACACACCCTTTTCATTTCAATCACCCGAGACCTTCATTAATTTCTGGAACAAGAATTAAGATATTTGTGATGAAACCTGAAAGCACTCTGATTCTCCAACAGTCCTGATACATTCAACGTCTACAAAAGAATTCCAAAACACTGTTAAAACATTGGTGCGTGACAGGGATTAGCACTGTCGCCTCACAGCAAGAAGGTCGCTGATTCGAGTCTTTGCTGGGTTAGTTGGCATTTCTGTGTGGAGTTTGCATGTTCTCCCCTTGGTCGTGGGTTTCCTCTGGGTGCTCCGGTTTCTCACACAACTCCAAACACATACACTATAGGTGAATAGGGTAAAATTGTCCGAAGTGTTTGTATGTGAATGAGTGTGTATGGATGTTTCCCAGTGATGGTTTGCAGCTGGAAGGGCATCCGCTGTGTAAAAAATATGCTGGATAATTGGGTGGTTCATTCTGCTGTGGCAACCCCAGATTAATAAAGGTACTAAGCCGAAAATAAAATGAATGAATGTCAAAACATTCCATGTAACTTTAGTGGTTCAACTCTAATCTTACGAAGCTCCAAGAACACTTTTGTGTGCAATAAATACTGTAAAAGCAACTCTTTTTGCATATATCCTCCTCATCAGATTAGGGTGTAGGTTTCCTACACACCTTACAAATCAATAAATACCTAAACCACATGGATTAAAATATATGAATAAAAATATAAAACAGCAGCATTAGGTATATATGAATCAAAATATATACAAAGACATTAATGTTCAATAAATAGTTATTTTTTGTCAAGCCCTGCATAAGACAAGTGATTTGGAAAGTAAAAATGGATGGATTTAATTATTATTATTGTTATCTTTAATCATAATAAACTGCCTGTCTGCCAAGAATTGCAGATAGGTTGTGGCTTCCACTGTTAACGTTACATTTACATAGAGTATTTTATTATCTTTAGTGTTCACTTTCAATTTATTGGAATCTTTTGTTTTTAGTATTAGTACAAATGTTGTTTGATAACATTTTAAGCTTAAAATAGAAAGCTTTTGCTTTTTGAGTATTGAATTTTTAATATATAATTTTATACAAATATATTGCCAAAATATGTTTCTATAGCCTCCTAAGGCTTTAGTGGCCACATACGTGGACAGCACATTTTAGCTCTTAAGTGGCTATTTAAAATACTTTAAATGTTTTATATTTTGTTACAGACATACAGTGTCATCCTGCAACTGTTTTGCAGCATATGAAATGTCCCAAACACTATTTTTAACTGTCCATACAATTGTGGAAAAAATTGGTATTTACTCTCTGAGTCAAAACATGTTCAAAAATAATTTATGTTATATATGCATAAAAAGAAGAAAAGAAAAAAAAAACAGTCAGGAAAAGGCGTTTTATGTAAATTCGGACCACGAGTCCACATATATGGACATCATTTTTCTCTAAAAGTACATCTTATCAAAAGATGATACTTAGGTTTTATTCTAATTAGGTTCTAATATGCCCAAATAGCAAAGAGAAATAAAAAAGGCATGTAAAAAACACCTTAGGCCTTAAGAGGATAGTTGAAAACTATAATATTATAGTATTTGTATTAGTGATTTGTGACTTTTTACAGATATTAGTGATGATACCTTCATGATTATATTCTATTACTCTATAAACAGTACATTTCATTGGTCCAACCGAACATATAATCACACATATGAAATATCATGAGATTTTTTTCAAATATTCCAATCATTAAAAAATTAATAGTTGAATATTCTGCCAAATAATAACCCAGTGTCACTCAGTAGGTATTGAATAACACAGAACAGAAGCGACCTCTTGTGGTGAGAACATGTAGCTACAGTAATACCAGCAGTGCTTTTTATGGTGAATAGGAGAATCTTTTCTTCCTACTGTCATGTAGAGCTCTTTATTTCTGTTCCCTTCACTTCTTTCAGTTACCTTCTAGATATGTTTCCCACCTTTCGATCATGCCTTTTCTCTTCCTGCTATTCTTTTTTCTTCTCTGCAGTCCCTCTCTCGCTTTCTCGTACCTTTGTGGTCAGTAGGGCTGAGTCTGTGGCTGGATCTCCAGGTATAGGTAAACTGATTTAATTTTTTTAATTGGTCTACACTGTTATCTTAAGTCACAAGAGCTCAGGAAATCATGCACAGCTCAGTCTACGGAGTCTAAAATCAGAACAAGCTTAACTGTACACATTTCATTTTCCTTGATTGATTTCCAAAATGTATGTCAATGGTTACAGTTTTTCAGCATTCTTTAAAATATATAATTTTAACAGAAGACAGAGCATTTAGTAAGTACATTTTCATTTTGGGGTGAATTGTTCTATTAACACCATTTATTAATCCTAGTCAGTGTTAATCCCATTTCAAGCATTATTTTACTACACTGTATGATCATTGTATGAGTCAATGCACTGTAAGCTAGCAAAACTGTTACCAATGTTCATATATGAACTACACTTGTGCTAAATTGACAAATCTTTTAGACCTTAAAATTTAGAACTACGTTTTAAGATAGCACAACTAGCATAAACACATTATTTTATTCAACATTACACCCTAGGTTAACAAATGCTGTAAATAATTAATTTATTTGTTGGTTTAGGCTTTTTAAGGCATTAACTAATATTAATAAATGACAAACTTACTTTAAAGTGAATTTTTCAATTGATTGAAATATCAGACTTAACAATAAGGATTTGTTTCTTATTTTAAACACATTGATAAGGTCTGTTTTTGCCCACATTTTACTGTCTGATTTGATTTGTTAACATTAGTCAGCTACATCACTGTCCATTAACTGAGAATGAACAATAGTTCTACATTTACTCATAATACTATTACATGTTAATAGCATTAGTTATGTTCATGTTGGTTAATGTACATTGAATGTACATAATCATGAATAGTTTCATTAACGAACAAGTTGAAAGCTGTACGAAATAAATTATTTATTATTAGTTTAAATGAACTAACAGCTGAAATAATCATTGCAAAATTGTATCCAAATTTGGACTATTGAAACAATGGAATGGTCAGACATCAGTCTGTTAGTCATTGTAAGTCATACCGTATGTTACAGTAAATCCCTCCCACACATTTCTACTTCACAGGCCTCCTGGAGTAAAGGGCGACAGCGAGGCCATGTGCGCGCACGCACACACACCTCTGTACACACATGCACACACATACTGTTCCCTGTTCTCACATACCGCATGCTGACTACCAGCATGTAGAGTTCAGAGCTGGGCCCCTTCAGGCCAGCATTGGAGCCTTGAACTCACACATCCAAACACGGATTACATACATTCCAACCAAATTGTGGCATTATTTGGTTGGAATGCATCACCCCCACTGTGGAAACCTGTGCGCGTGCATATATGCACGTGCATGTGTGTTTATGAATCTTATGGAGCAAGAAAGAATAATTGTATGTGTCAAAAATGTGTGGAATTGTGTATATTTGAGAGTCTGCTAGCTTGTGTTTGTGTGTGAGTGAAGAGAATGTTTGTGTGTGTGCACTTGTAAATTGTCCCCCTCGTTATGAAGTGGAAAACCTAAGCTGTGTTTAATTAAAAACAAGCCAATCTTCACTTTAAAAGCTCTTAGGCTTTTTATCTTGCCAGTGGCAACACTTTTACATGCATGAAACACCCCTTTACAACTGCAAATGATGTTATTGAGTTCTAAAAAGCTGTTACAAGCTGCTTTGAATAATCATTTTCCATGTTCTACTTGTTGTCTCTATAAAGTTGAGGGTTTCAGGCATGTGTTGAACCCTTTATAAGGCTTCGCAGAATGCAACCACTTTTTTTCTATGTTTTTTTCCTGGTTTCTGAAATCATAATTCTGTTTTTTTTTTTTTCCTTTGTGCAGAAAACAAATCCCCACCTCGATCATTTGGACTGAATCATTCTGACTCATTAAATCGTAGTGAGCGAATTGAAGTCATCACACCTTCACTGGGCAGCAGTAACAACCAGCTCAACGCCTTCCTGCAAATCTATGTGCCAGACTATTCTGTCAGAGCTGTGTCAGACGTACAGTACATTAAGGTAAACTGAAATGCCATTACAAAACCAACATACATAAAACAAAATTGTTCAAAAGCTATTTATAGCACATTTAGTACCATTTTGGCAGCTTTCAAAATGGTATCAATGGGCTTTTAAACTGGTTAGGGTTAGGGCTAAGGTTAGTAGAGATGTCAAGATTACAGACTTGGCATTTCCCACTTTCTACATTCATGCCCATCTGAATCAATTCTTAAACATTGCTGATTGGCCATTGTGTTCACATACTCAACAGATATGACTGTGATTGGCTCCAATGATCATCTTTTGACCCTCTTCACAATTGCTTACACACATACATGGACACAGGAGCATCTAAAAGCTATGTCTATCAGAGGATCTGTCTATAAGCGGATATACGAGTGGTCTGCTGTCAGATCGGCTGATAGATGTGGCATTTAACATGCAGGATTGTCTTTTATGAGGCAAAGGGCCAATTGTATTTTTGTTGCAATTTTATATTCTATTTTATAGCAAATTTTATTTATTTTTTAAAGTTTTTTATTCAGCGTTTATTTAAAAAAAACCATGATAGTAAAACACAAACGCAGTTATGAATGTATTAAAACAAATGCTTTGTTGTTGTTTTTTTTTAATTATAATAATGACAAAAAATACTCATTTGTGCATCTTACTTCTGTGTGCAGTCATGCTGTCAATGTAGATGATTTATTCAGGGAAATTTTCTTACCCCTTGGTTTTAAGTGTGGTCCTGAAAAATCTCTGTTTCAAGGGCTATTTAGCTCTTCTTTTTAGCCCCACGCCTTCAGGCTAAAGAGAATTGGGACACCCCTATGGGTTAGAATTGGGATTGAGCCTAAATTAGCTCATACCATTAGAGTAGGGTCATCAGTCGGTCACTTCTGTACATATTGGTATTTAAGTGGCTAGTGGGAGATATCACTCATCAGATTTCCGCTTTGAAACACACATAACTGAGTTGTATGCAGAGAGTTTTACCCATGAATGTAGTGGTGAGGCAAATTCAGTGGCAGGTTCTGGGTCCTCGCCTGTTCATTTGTTGTTTGCTGAGCAGTACCACTGTAAGAGAGGAGTTTCCTCTAAGACAGCATGTGGTCAGATTGTGTATTTTTTTCCTCTGGAAATATCATAGTTTCTGGATGTGGTAGATTCCTGCCCCCGGACAATTCTCATAACCACTGTGTTGGATGGATGGACATCCAGAATGTTGATGCGGTGCTTGTGAGTTTATGGGTATGCTAAGATTTTGGATAGCATAGCTCCATGTGCAAGTTCCCTCTATTACTACCAGCACTGTGGTTAACATGTAGAGAGATCTGAGGATCACAGTGGGAACAAATGCACTGGATGAATCTCCATGGACGTTCCACACGTCTCCAGCACACCTCATCCAAGCTTCAGATGAAACCTCAGGTCCATCCCGTGGCATAGCCTCTCTCATTTAAAGACACAGATCGGAGGGTGAGCTGTCATGCATCTACTCTTCACCCTTAGGGGTTGCCTGGAAGGCCAGGTATAAGAAAGACAATCTGTCTTTGCCCCATGTCCTTTTCTACTCAAAGTGGACATGGAGTTCTCGGAGGCTTTCAAGGCACCTTTCAATGCCAGAGCCATTAATTCCTCTATGTGGGGTGTATGTGGTCATTCCCCAGATGCCCCCCTTCAGCTTGTGTTCAGCTGAGAAAAGAGCAAGCTCTCCCTTATGCAGAGCATCTTTTTTTTTTTCAGGGTGGTGCTGGACAACTAAACATGTCCAGTCAGTGCTCTCCTGCCAAAATCAGTTCAGAGGAAAACATCTTTAGCATTACATATAATAAGGGGGAAAAATGGCAAATTAAAACAACAAACACTTTTTTTTTTGGCTCAGTTTGTTTACATTGAGAGTTTATAAAATGTAAGTTCTGTATCCAGCCTCCAGGGGGGGCGATCAGGATGTTTTGGCCTCACTGTTTAGGACAGTGGTCCCCCACCTTTTTATCACCGCAGCCCGGTTTTCTCAGAAGATGACAAGCTGACAAAACATTGCTGTCCATCTGATACACGTTTTATTTATGGAGAGAAAAAAAGCACTGCAGTATTTGGTGTTCTGTGTTTGTCTGAGATAATTAGGCCCAATTCCAATTCTACCTCTAAGCCCTTCCCCTTAACCCTACACCTCTTTTTGCACATTCACATGAAGGTGTATCGATTGATAGCCCTCGAAAGAGAGATTTTTCAGGACCACACTCGAAACCAAGGGGTACGAAAATTTCTAAGAATACACTGGCCACAACGGCTTCATAGCTGCAAACGGAAGTCAGAAGATCTATAAATTAGTATTTGTTGTCATTATGACAAATTTCTATGACAAACGTAAGTTTCAATACATTTATATCCACGTTCGAGTTTTACCTCCATCTTTTAAAAAAAATGCTGAATTTCGCTATTTTTATATACCAAATACCAAAAAATAACGCAACTGCAATAACTACAGCAGTTGCGATCGACGATTTCATATGAAGAAAGAGATCGCGATGACATCTGATGGCATGTGCAGGTGCTGTAGTGGAGTCCCATTTCTTTGGGGTAAATTTTGAAGCCCTTCCCCTTCACACTTTTGGGGAAGGGGTAGGGTTATAAAAAATAGAATTGGGCCTTTCTACCTAAAAGTGTATATTCCATACAAGCTGAAGCTGATAATACGGTCAGTTCTTGTCACGTGACTCGCGATGCTCTCCTGAGATTCATCTAGCTGTGTGTGTCTGAAAGGCATGAGTGAGTCACACCGCACTGCTTGCATTGGAAATAAAGAACTTGCGCAAACTCTAAAAAAGACGCGATATGCGAACACCCGCTAAAAGGCATTTGCAATCTCCAGCGGTTGATCTTCTTGCACAGACATGGTGGATTCATCTGATTTGTTGAGTTGTGAATCTGTTTCTCGGCAGTTCGCGGGGGCATTTACTGGGCGTTTTTTTAATTAGCAAAGAAACTTTCCAATGACGTCTGTTTCTTACTCATTTTGCTGCTTGTGGGTCAAATTTGGGCACTCAAGTGAACGAGATGTAAGCGAGAGAATACGGTAATTTTTCAAAATAATCATTCAGACTCAGCTAATAGATGAAACTGAAATAATTAATGATTTCTTGTGCAGCCCGGTACTAATTGATCCACAGACTGGTACCGGTCCGTGGCCTGGTGGTTAAGGACCACTGGTTTAGGACACACATTGTAGAAGAGACCAAAAACAACATTAGAAACCTGTAACATAGCTTAATTGCGGCATTTTAACATGAGCTTTTGTAAGTTGCCCTGTTCTCTTTGTTTTCAACAGGTAACGCGACAGCAGTATCAAAATGCCGTCATGGCCTCACGCATAGACAAAACCCCACAGTCCTCAGAGAGCGAGTACACCAAAATCGAAATGGCTTTGACAGAGCTCCACGATGGACTGACCGATGAAACCACCACGCTGTTCAACCAGACACAGAACTGCGTCGTCCACAACAAGTCCAACCACACAGGCCACAGCGAGGGTCCCATCTAGCCCTCAGCGGGGTGGTGGGGAAACACCACCCCAAACCGATATAAACTAACAGTGCAGTACTACTGGGGCTTAAGCTTGGGTTGACCCGACGCAATATGGAATAGTCCAGTGACCCGCTTCGGACCCCTTCATCCTGATAAACCGCAGTGTTTATGTCCCCCAGACCAAAGAGTTTGGAGGATGGACATTGTTGTGCTCGGATGAGCCCCTCCAGCTACACTCAGACTGTCCCGCGATGTTCACAAACACAAAAGACGTACTCCAGACAGATGTAATAGGGTGAATCAAAGACTGTTCCAAATACCGCTTTGAAGGAAACCATGAACCAAGAGCATTCTACTCACATATTTATTTATTTTTTATGCATTTGTATATATGTGCGTGTCTGAGGATATAATTGTTGGCACATGCAAACCTGTCTGTAAATTGTGCATGTGTATGTGTGTGCCTCTATGAGTGTCACATGCTATATATATATACAGTTACAGATACATCATTGTATATGTACTGGTGAGGGTCTTTTACATGTATATTTCAGAAATGCTTATTTCTACTGTCCTAAATCTGGTATATCCCTTTTAGACCTTTTTTTTGTTTGTTAAAAATATATATATATGAATCATTATGTTGCCTTTAAAAATCATATTAATTTTTAACAAGTGCAATGAAACATTTTATTTAAAAGATGATTTATCATGATTACTGTATTGTAAATTATAGATCTGTTTGTATCTATTCTATTTTATCACGTTTGTATATTTGTTCGCAGATATTTCGGATTCACTTCCAAGGATAAACAGGTCTTTTTTTTTTTGTCTGCTTTAAAAGTTGAATTCTATCAAAGGCACAATAATTTTACATTTAAAGCCGAACATGTTTTTATTTAAACTAAATGACAGACCTGTCAGGACTTTATGCAAGGGAGAATCGATATGCATCCGTGCGATTCCTAACCGAATTCAGGCCGTAACATAAAGAGTCATTAAAAGAACTACTACATTAAATCATCTGTAAGAGAGATTCCAATGTGTTTAAAATGGCTGCATGTGTGTGTAATACCTTTGTGTCTCTAACACTGATTTCAGTGGTTATTTATATGACGATGGAAACTCTTGCTATGCATACAGTTGTCTTTGAATTGAACATCATGTTATCGTTTTGTTAATGATGTACCATATTTTTTTTTGAAAGGTGACATTAATTGTCACATTTGACTATTATTTGAACAATCCCAAATCCATTCCTGTGATTATTCCTATATAAATGTGGCAGCTGCATGACCCTGTTTCTACAATGTCAGACTTTGTGGTAAATCTGATTCAGGCAGCTTTTAATACTTCACCCTAGATGTTTGGTTTTTTTTTTTTTTTCGTTTTTGTCTTTCAATGGCAACTTGAACCACTCCAGATAAATAAGAGGAATGCATTGCTTGTTGTATTCTATTATTTATACATGGGTCAGTACCACCAACATCCACTACTTGGCACTACGGTCTAACAATTTAGCCAAACTAAACCTTGACAAGGTTATAATCTTACAACTGATGCTCTTTATACCAAAGATTTTACTGAAGAGGTGTGATCAGAGATTGTTGGGCTTTATTTAGTGATAAAGCCAGGATTGATTTGTTTTTTCCCTAGACAGACGCTCTTGTGGGGTTAAATACATTTTTGTTTTCTAATTTGCTTTGTCAATGAATTGTAGCTACTTTGTAACTAAAATGTAAACTTAGGGAGGAAAACAGTCTAGAGAAAGTGCTATTAAACATTCATCAGTTTCACTATGGTGTTGTGTTCTTTTACTTGTCCTTTCACTTGCTACAACTTGTTCATTGCTTCATCATCTAAAAGTCTTCCATCAAAGACAAACACAGGATATTTCTGTCACCGTGATATATTTCTATAGGAAATTAGCATCACCCCTGCTCCCTTATTTAAAACAGACTAAACTGTTACACTGGTTTTTGATTATTGCAGAAATAAGCTCTGTAGCCAGCAATGGTTTATGGTGTTATTGTTGCATTTATTATGATCTTTATGGATTATGTTTTTATTTTATTTTAATAGATTCTAAATACAGTAGTTACTACAAATAGTAAATCAAAAGGTTAGAGAAGTATCCTGATTCTTTAAATAAAGTCAACATGTCACAGTATGTATCAGCCTTGCTAAGGGTGAGCTGTCAGAAGATGGTATGTCACATTAACCATGCCACACTTGCAATCTATAGTCTATAAATACAGGTGTAACACTGGTGGTTCTTTCATACAAGTGCTTCTCGAGTAACCATGCCACATGGCATATTGACTTCATTTACAGAACCAGGTTACCACTGTAACCCTTTATTCTATTTCATCTCAGTCAATAGAAAAAAGAAATGCATTATTCAACATGAGAAATCCAATCCCTATTTCATCCAGTGTCTCTAAACGTGGTTCTGACAAAGACTTCAAGACAATATCCAGATTCCATGAGGTAATTGGTTGTGGTTGAGATAGACACAGTCAACATGACTGGAAAAAGAATCTTTCTGAAGACATTACACCAGCCATGCTTTTATGGATGCGGTGGTTTCCTTTTGCCGGATGACGGACACGATCACTAAATGGCACATTATACACTATGCACTCATGCACTATGTACTTATGCACTTACACACTCAACAGGATAGTATATGCATGTGTCTGTTCCTCAGGTAAGAGGTGATTATGGTCAGTCTTGTTCATGATATCCTCTGTCTTATGGGTTGGGCCACAACTCTTGCTCATGGTGTAAGGGTATTCTGCCCCCCTTGGTCAGATCATACACTGCCACAGGCCAGGTTGTTATGCTCTGCATACTCGCCACCATGCTCCAGGGGCCCTGGCTGAGCTGCACATGTGCAATCTTTCCCCTGGGGTCTTGCACAACTCCGTATGGCTCTGATTTTGCTCTGGCCACCAAGTCAGCTGTCTGTACCCTGGGGCAAGTCACCCAGAGGTGAGTGGAACTGTTGCATCCCTAATAGAGGCTGGGTCCATTATTGCAAAATGTTTGCATGTCAGCATTCATTGACACCCTTGCAAAGCAGTGTCTTTCCCAGTGGGTGTGAAACCTCGAGTGCTATAAGCCCAGGACGTGCTGTGTTCCAGCTTGCAGCCTCAATACAACAGTTTGCCAATGGCCAAGAGAGGACAGGCTCCTACATCTTGCACCTTCAGCCTCGAGCAGCAACATGCTTACATGGACTTCCTCGGAAAGTGTTGCTTTCCGAGCCGTGTACTCCCAACCCAAGCCACCCCAATGCTAGCGCATCAATAATCTGGTAAGCTCTGTCAGCCTGGTTATTGCTGCTCAGCCTGTCATAGTTGCTCATACCGATTATCAGACTTAGCTCTGCGATTCAGTTCACCAAGTGGCCTCCGAGTTCAGAAGTGTGTATTTCAATGTGGTAAAATCTGCAGCTGCCACTGCCTTTTCAAGGGATTCCTGTTCTTTGGCGAAAAAAACACAAGTGAGCTGTTCCTCTAGCCAAGATGGATCGCGTGTTTCTTGATTATTCTTCATCACACCCTATAAGCATGTGGTGGCTTATGGCCAATCCTATTTCTGTGCACTTTTTGAAGGGTTATTGTGGTGGGGAGAACATGGTCCAACACCCAGGAAGGGGGGAGAGCAGGTTGAGACAGAACAGCGGTTCTGTGTCCTTGTGGAAACCCAGCGTGAGAACCGCAAGCTCAAATGAAGCCTGCTGGATGGGGAGATCTGGCCTGCTTTGACATCTACATTCCACCCTCCTATCACCCTCCAGAAAGTGGGGTTGCTGGATGACTTGGAAGCCTTCCTCAACCTCTTTATGAAGATGGCAGAGGTGTGTGGCTGGCTGGCCGGTAAGGACCATAACGCTGTGATCATAACTATGATCAGCTGAAGCGAGCAATTCTCCAGTGGGCCGGCAGCAACTCGGCCCTTTGTGTTCGCCCAGCCGGTTCGTGATGTCTGCCGCAGATGGCTGATGCAGGATAACCGGACTGGTTTCCAGTTGGTGGATGCCATGGTGCTGGAGCAATTCCTTGCCCGCTTCCTCTCCCGATCATCAGAGTGGGTCTATTGCTACCGGCCAGATCATCTCCCTCTACTTCTTTCTCTCTCTCTGTCCCCATTCCCAGGCCCAGAATGCAGGGATCACCCACTCCAGCACCCAGAAAGCGGTGCACAGGATAGTATCTGCAGTACACTCCGCCTCACTGGGGTGGATATCGAGATGGAGGGGGAAATCCCGACCCCTGGTGGGTTCCCTGGCACTGCCAGGTCTCTCTCTGCTCCATTGGTTGGTTCAACGTCTGTTACAGATGGCTGCCCCAGTTTTTTGTGAGCACACCATCATCAGCAGGGATGCAGCAATCTAACATGCCACCTGGCCCTAAGTTACCTTGACTTGCCTGTGAGGCTTATTTATATTTTTGAGGATTCATAAAAACATACACCTAGTTAAATTCCAGAAACTTTTGCTTACAACTGTACGTTGGGAAAGTGTGCCTATTCAGAAGGGGAAGGACGCTGAGGAGGCCACCTGCTGCCCAACTGGGGAGACCTGGTGGTGGTCAAACACATGGGCTAATTCTGTCCTAGGAGGAGTGCACATATGAAGAAATGGTTAGCGGCAAGGGAAGACACAGTGCTGCCTAAGAAGGGGGGACTACACCAAGGCTGAGCGACGCATTTGGGATAACCAATGGGGATTGCACATAGCAGCGAACAAAACCCCAGAATGCAGCAGACTGAGGGGGCATACCAAAATTTTTAAAGGGTCAGGCACCCAACTTCTCCACTAAGTCAGGTGCTGGGGCCTCGGAGGAACTCTGTAGGGTTAGCCGAATGGGGAATTCACTGAGCTGAGTAAGAAAGCGCACATATCTCTGTGTTAGGGAGAAAGGCGCAACAAGAATGTTCCAACACAGAGCAGTTTCCTCATTAACTGGGGTTACCCAGCACATGCGAAGAAACCAACTCCACTCAAACATTATAAAATTTTGCAAATGTAATAGTTGTCACCCTGCCTGCAACTCTACAGATGTCTGCTAAAGAGGTGCCACATGTTAAAAGAGGAAGTCATACTCCTTGTCGAGTGTGCTCTTACCCCTGAGGGACATGGCATTACCTGGCACTGATAAGTGAGAGCAATCACATTCACTATCCAGTGGGCCAGATACGGTACTTACCTTCTGCTGACCACCATGGCAGACAAAGAGCGGATCAGAAGATCTAAAACTCTGTGGTGTCCACATATAACACAGCATAGAAAGGCCTGGGTCTGCCTCCTCCAATGGGCAGCACTTGCATGTTCACTACCTGGTCGTTAAGGGGTATGGTAAGAACCTTTGGCCCATATCCAGGCGGGGGTCTCAGGATAACGTGAGAGTGGGCTAGCATTAATCCAAGCACAATTTACTGATCGAAAATATCTCCAGGTTCCTGACCATCTTGATTGATGCCAACACATCGAGTGGTTCAACTAGATCTCTCTGCAGGCCACCTAGCACTGCAGAGAGATTTTAAGAGGGCAGAGGGAGGGAGGGAGAGGCAGGGTGAATTTAATCGCCGTGCGACTCTGAGAAACCGGATGATGAGGTTATGCCTTCACAACGTGCCACTAAATGGCAACAAAAATCTTCAGTATGGAGGGGGACAGTCTCTGCTCCAGCCTATCCTGAAAGAAGAAAAGCACAATGCTGATCTAGCATGTGTGGGGTCTTCTCCACGAGAAGCGCAAAATTCAGTGAACAGACCTCACTTCAGGGTGTAGAAATGCATTGTAGAGTGTGCTCCAGCCTGAGTGATGGTGTTAACCACTGCAGCTGGTAGGTCACCTAAATCCTTCGCACTCTGTCTATGCACCACATGTGGAGGTTCCAGAGATCTGAGCATGAGTGCCAGATAGTGCCCTGTCCTTGAGAAGAAAGTCTTTCCACTAGGGTGGGGCTGTCACAAGGAGAGAGAGAGTTTTGATATCCAGGTCCAGTTGGGCCAGAGACTAACAAGGCCTGCTCCTTTTCCTCCCTTCAGCTCGGCATCAGCTCGGCACTATCTGTGCTATCATGGTGATTGAGTCCAGCTCCAACCGAGAAAAAACATGGTCTGCTCGAAGACAAGCTTGCTCTTTTATTGATTTATCTGAAGATCCAACAGGTCGAGGCACCCTGTTCCTGTGCATAACCAATTGAGCAGACATGGAGAGCCCTAAGGGGAGGACTGCTATACTCAACCCTCAAACGCAAACCGCAGAAGCTGCGAGTGACATGGAAGACATGAAAATGCACATCCTTCAGGTCTATTGCTGCAAACCAATCCCGAATATGAATGCATTGAAGGATGCACTTCTGGGTGAGCATTTTGAGCAGCAGCTTGTGAAGACAGCAGTTTAAAAAGTGCAGATGAAGTATTGGCCATAACCAACCTCTCTTTTTGGGTAAGATGAAGTACAGGTTGTAAAACTTGCTCTTCATCTTGGCTTGATGGACCAGCTTGATTGCATCCTACACAAGGAGGACTGCAATCTCCTCGTGCAAGACGGAAGGGGGCTTGACCCTGGTAAAATACATGTCAGTGAACTTGAGGTGATGGCTGTTTGGCAAACTAAATCGCATAGCTGAATATGATTGTCTGGATGGGCTGGGCAGTGCTAACCAGGTCATCGTCTATCCAAGGACATTCACAGCTGACTTAGTGGTCATCAGAGCATAGTTTGTTATGATGAGTAGTTCTTGCATTAAGCCTGGGTTGGGACCAACTGGGTCAACACCTGCACTTGGTAGTACTGATACATGGCCATAGCATGCAGGGCAGAAGAACCTTGGCCTGCAGCAGTGTAGGCTCTTGCCCTGATGGACGGAGACAACCTACATGCTTTGGATGGAAGGCGAGGATGACCACGCCAGGAAGAAGGCACGCTTTACCTGAAGTGGCAGGTTGACCCCCACTGTAACCCTCAGATGTGCCTGATTACCAACCAGTTTGCAGGAGACAACAAGGGTGGTTCACCCTTTTGCAAGGGCTAGCTGTGATCTTGCTGCCCGTGAGCACCGCATTATCATGCTAGATCCCAGACATGCAATGCAATACTCTTGCCACTATCTGGGAAAAGGGGACCACCACACCCAGAAACACACGGTCATAACGAACACAGACTTTTGTGAACTGGACAGGTGAAATGTTCAGGGACGGGAGAATGGACCCAGCTCAACTGCTGCTGCTCATGTTGTCACTCACACTGGACCCAGGAGAAACAGCTTCTCTGAAGACGGCAGCTTTCTTTCTCTCTCTTTTGATTGAAGTCGATAACAACAAACTCAAGACTCTCTTAGTTGCACATGAGGCTTCTCAATGTAAACTGTGCTAAGCGACACTTGGCTAACAGCGTTATACTCAGCTCAGTATTGCTGTCAGCTGCGTGCGCTGGGAGCTGCCAATATGAATGCCAATTATGAATATGAATGTCAATTATATGGCATTCATTGACATTCCATTTTATTACTCCTCAGAATCATTGGCTATCTGGTGATATCTTCCTAAGTGTCAAATGTCACATGGCATTGAATTTCCCCTCCCACTGGTGAACATTTGATTATGTTGCTAATTGTTGTTTAACTTATTGTTCAACATTTTTAACCATAACAGAGTTTACATTTGTTTTTCACCATTTTTTGGTTTAGCTCAAGATGCTAACCTCAAACCATGGCATGTCCAAAATCAAATTTTATATATCTTTTTTTTTTTTTTTTTTTTGAATCAGTGAAAATATCAACTGAGTTGACAAGTAGTTAATCTACCATTGGTGTATCCCAGGTCTTAATTTGTGCTGGAACAAGCCGTATCTGAATCCCATACCTCTTCAATCTGATCTGGTACCTATGAAATCAGATCCTTATTTTACCCTCCTCCCCTCGCCTTCCTCCTTCACTTTCTTCCTCGACTCCCCAACCCTCTTTGTCTGCAAATCCCTCCCCGGCTCTTCACTTTCGATTGTGACACATACCAAGCAACTGACCACTTAACACCACCGCCCCTCCCAGAAGTGAAATCACTTGGAGCAAGTCAGTGTTCAGTGCTTTAATGTAAATGGCTTTTTCTAACTGATGTAACAGAGTTAACCAGAGAAACAGGGTAATATACATTTTATATATATATTTTTTATATAAACCAGTTTTCTGGTTTTCTTCCACAGTCCAAAGACATGCATCAAATGAATCGGCCAATCCAAATTGGCAATATAGTCTAGCTCGTATCCAGCAGTATATGTCTACATAACAATTCCTAATTTGTCATTAGCACTATATAAGGGGTGGAGTTCTCGAGACCTACCTGAGCTCAAACTCTCCTCTCACCCTGGGCTCGAGGATCTTATGAGCTCAGGGCTCTCTCCCAGCACAGCATGCTAAACATGCTCGGTAATCAATCATCAGCTAAGTGTGAACTCTTAAATTTTAGAGCATTAAATCGGAATAAACCATTAGCATCTCACTCTTTTAATTAATTAATTTTTTAATTTTCAATAATTTTCATATTTAAAGCTCATCTCGTCTGTAGTTACATTGTGTACTAAGACTTGTTGGGCATTGAAATGTTGCTATTTTTCTAAGCCAATATGACTAGTAACTATACTCTCATGCTGTCATAAAAATCAAGGAACTGTAGCCAATGTTCAGGTATTGCACATCATTTATAACTTATCTTTTTTTTTAATGGGATGATATTGATTTAATCTAATTCAATGATTTTTGCTTAGATAAGCTAAAAGTGCCAGAGATTGGATGAAATGGTACTATTTAACTCTAGGATATACTTATAAAATGAGCCTATTTCCAATAAAGTTAAACTTCCTTTAAAATATGGTAGATGGGTTGGCTGTCAATCGTTCATAAAGGCGCTTTGAAAGTTATTCCTAAGATTAGTCTTTCTTGTCATTGTAGCTGATGTAAACCTCAAAATTATAATGGATAGCAACACTATGTTATAGATATTATTGGTCTGAACAGGCTTTTAACAAGATGTTCTTAACTATTCTAAAAAACATAAAACCTTATGTTCAGGCATACTGTATGATGTCAGAAGGAAACACAACAGGAGACCAACGGTGACTTTATTATGGAAAATTAACTTTATTGTACATTGCAATGCAATTTCCCATTTGGATAAGTTTACAACTCTATAAATCAGAAAGTATCGTAATTCAGGGAGCAAAACCAAACTTTAGACACATGAAATCACAGGCCCTAAACAAACAACAAATGAAAAAATGGGATTAATAAATGTCATGGCTATTTTGCTCAAAAAAAAAAACAAAAAAAAAAAAAAAAAAACTGAAAGCTAAAAAAAAGTACATTACACTGAATAATGTTTAAATTGAAAAATAACTAAAAGAAGAAGAAGAAAAAACAAATTAGGAATAAGATAAAAAATAGAAAAGAGCAAATATTTAGTAGGTTATTGGCACAGTTAATAAACAACTATACTTTAAACTATGCCAGAATATACTATGAAAACACTAGTTCAAACAGAAACATACAGTATGCAAAGCTACCTTTGATTAAAGAAATGTGATCTAGAATAATAACTAACGGCATAAGTGGACGAATACTGTTTAAACTCTATGCCTTTGCTATTCTATTACTTTAAAATATAATCTAAGCCAGTTTCCCCTTGCATAGACAGCTAAAAAAAAGATAACTGCCTACACCAGTGCAAATTAGCCCAGGACTAGTTTTATTCCATGTCCAGGGAACTAGCCATATTATTTATTTATCTATCTATATCTACATACATCTATGTATACTTTAGATGTGTATATATATATATATATATATATATATATATATATATATATATATATATATATATATATATATATATATACACACACACACACACCCACAATGTTGAGTTTGTATACAAAGCCAATGGAAACAGAGGGGGAAAAAAAAAAAGAGATGGACGATAAAAATTTGGACATAAACACTCCCTATACCACAGTCTCTAAAGACCTGGACCAAGAACAAGTATATTTTTAAAAGAACTGCCCCATTTTGGGATGTCCATTTGTATTGACATATATAAAATATGCAATGTATGTTTAAAAATATCTTGTTTAACAGCTTCCTTAGAAACAGACTTTTGAAAATCTAAAAAAAATAAACTATTTTGTGCCTCATAACAAACCTTCCTACTCGGTCTTCCCTTTAGAAAAACTGACAGTCAGACCCATGAAAAAAAAACACATTCTCTAAAAAAAACAAAATAATATACAGTTATAATATGCATACAGGTATCACATGTTGCATTACAGCTCAGGTAGCTTCATTTAGATCCTACGTCCTATTATCTTTGAGTAATGCATATGAAAGTCACACGATCATCCTAATCTACCTGTTTCATGCACTTGGAACGCTTCCCAAAGCCAAACAGTGTTCTCTATAAACCATTAACTACCGTAATTCTTAATAACAATGTTTATTTCTTAACAACCGACACTGAATAGTGTCTAATAGGACCCTTGAAGCTAAATCAATCAACATCTCCACACCGTTTTGGTCCACATGGGAGTAAACCATCAACAGAGTTCAACATGAGTCACTAAATTCCATAGAAACGATCACCAGAGCAACAGCACTCATTCTCAACCCATTCCTTTCACAATGCCCAGCTGCTACTCTACTTTTTCTCCCAATGACTGATGTGTGATAACAAACTCCTCACTTGTTTTTTTGTTTTTATTTTTTGCATATCAAGGTCACTTACAGTATATATGATGACTAGTTGAATAGTTTTTGCATCTGATATAAGTCAGGCAGATATATGGCACGTAATGACAAAACTAGAGCGTTCTGCTTAGCTTATTCAAGAGTATAAAAACAGTCAAAGTGAAATCATAGTGTTTATTTTTGTATTTTTGTTGCAATATTAGATGTGTATGTTTGTGATCAGACCATTTTTGTGCATGAGTGATCCCTAATATGACAAGCAACTACTGTAGCATTAGCGTTAGCTAAAATGTCTGTATTAAAAACAAGATGTTAACAGCAAACGGCTACATGTTGTTGCCAAGTAACTGGATTCTTGTGTTGGCTGCACTTCCTCACACACGTCTCAATGAACCGTGCTTTTTTTTCTTTCTGTGCTTCATTCAGATTCTCAACACGTGCTGGATTTCAACACAGACACTCTGCCAACATACACACACTTTTTTTTCCCTATTCCAAAGAAATTGGATTCTAAAAATGGATACAGCCTTTGCAGGAGGTAGTAACCAAGATAATCTGACTGGATGGACTGGCTTTTCAGAAGTTACTCTAAAACTAAAAAATATATAGTAAAATATTTCTCTAACATCCTTAAAAACATGTGTATCGCACTTTAACACCTATCAAGACTCTGATTTTTCGAGTCGTTGTATAAAAAAATAACGCAAGGTTTCACCAATATGCTGCATGTATGATCATACATGAATGTCTAATGTAAACTCGCAAGTTTTACCATCAGTTCACAGTAAAGTAAGTGTCCCTTCCACTGGATGAATATCACATGACAATATATAGTGAGCGATAAATGATTGCCATCCAATGTTTTTTTTTAAACAAACCTTTGTTCATTTCTTTAGTCATCTTTAACAGGAAACCGTCAGTTAGGGTGAACTGCACTTGTTTTCAGCTTCATACATCAACTCATCCATTTCCTCCTCCTTATCATCCAGCGTGTTTTACCCTTCAAATGGTCAAAACCGTCTACTCCTCCTCCTCTTCCTCTTCTTCTTCATCATCGTCTTCATCGTGGCAGTGTGTGATTTCCTGTGGTGGTTGAGCGAACAGATGCGGTGGTTTGATTTCGCTGATGGAGCGTGTGAGCTGGTTTCTTTTGCAGTCGATGTCTTTGCAGTCCACACAGTGGCGGTTACGTGTGGCCAGAGGAGACTCTGTGTCGGTCTCTACATGAGCGTGTTCTACTGTGGACTCATGGGGCATCTGGAAAAGAGAAAAGAGGAGACAGCGACAGTAAAAATTACGTTCAACTGGTCTAGGCACTGAGCACAAGAGTATATGTTTTTTTGAAAGCATTGCGCAGACTGGGATGTTTGTCGCTCATGCTTATTAGCAACATTTTTAAAGACCTTATTCAACATTCAAGACATTTTGGTTACACTTTATTTTGAGTAACAATTTCCAATATAAACTACCTGCGGATTACCTGCCTGTTATTAAGATATTGGCCGGTTTATAAGTACATATAAGGGCTTTTCATACTGTGCTTAACCCTGGGAAGGCCCACACGGAATATGCGCCCACACACAACTCTGTTGTAAAACTTACAAAAGTTAAAACGTTTTTGTTTTTAGTTCATGTGTTTTATCTCAAGGTTTTAGTTTACTATTCACCTTATCCTCTGTGTACGAGCGGGAGCAGCTATTTCAATCATTTTGGCTCAAGACGTCCAGTCACATTCACTTCCATTCATTTTTAGACGTTAAAAACATCTCGCTTTGCTGCTTCATGTTGCAAACTGATCTTTTCTTATTATATTATTTCAACTTTGTCTGTGCAGTTATGCAAACACTTGTTTGTAGAGCAAGTAGTTTGACTATTTTCTGCCGATAATTATTCCTAGTCATTTCTCTCATAGGAAACTGAATCAGAAGTTCTAAAACAATCGCAAAAACGAGCGCAATTCCGCATTGAAGATTCTGTCTGTCCTGACGCCTTGTTATTACGGTTTTAAACATTGCTTTTAACACCAGGTAAAGACACACCTCACACCTGTGATTAAAAAGCTCTGCTAGCACTGTATTTTACCTGGGGTTTTTCAGTGTGAGCAGTCTTTGTTTGGTGCTGCTTGAGCTGCGTGGTCATGTCATGTCAGTAACCGGAGGGATGCATCATGTAAACAGCAGTCAGTGAGAGAAAAGTGAGGAAATATTAAAAGATGGAAAGCATGTTGGAACCGATCAGCGACTCTTTTTATAACTGACAAAAATATGTGAAGGCGACGCGGTGGCACAGTAAGTAGTGCTGTCGCCTCACAGCAAGAAGGTCGCTGGGTCGAGCCTCGGCTGGGTCAGTTGACATTTCTGCGTGGAGTTTGCATGTTCTCTCTACGTATGTGTGGGTTTCCTCCGAGTGCTCCGATTTCTGCCACAAGTCCAAGACATGCGCTATAGGTGAATTGGGTAAGCTAAATTGTTTGTTGAGTTTGTGTGTGAATGAGTGTGTATGGATGTTTCCCTGTGACGGGTTGCAGCTGGAAGGGCATCCGCAGCATAAAACATATGCTGGGTAATTTGCCGGTTCATTCCGCTGTGGCGACCCCAGATTAATGAAGGGAAAGACAAAGATGTGAAATTGCTGTGTAAACAGCATCTTAACAGCGACAGAGACTGCAAATAATACATTAACCTGGGATTTATGAATGTAAACACCTATTAATGAATACCCAGGATTATCCGTTAACCCAAGGTGTAGTATTAGCAGAGTGAATCGTGATTACAGATACAAGGGTTAATGATTTCAACTCCTATAAAGTGTATTACTCTACATCCCTGATACCAATACCTAAACTAAACTTCTACCATACTATTGATAAGCAGCAAATTAAGTGTTTAATGAGCTCCATGTCAAGGAAAAAAAACAACAACTTTGCATCAACATTCTGGTGTGTAGAAGTCTATAGTGTTTAGTCTTGTTTAGAGCTCAGCTTCTGCTTCATCACAAACACAACAAATATAGATTCAATGATTAAAAATGTTTTCAACTAATAAACCAATATTTTCTTTTCCATTTAGAGAACTACTACTAAAGGGATTATTTTACCCAAACATTTTTCTACTACTAAGTGGTTCTAAACTTTTATGAATTTCTTTCTTCGTTAAACACAAAATGCATTATTCTGAAAGAAAAAAAAATGCTGGAAAATGAAGGAATTGTCATAAACAGTAAATAAACTACAGATGTCAAAGGTTGTTTTTTCAACATTCTTTAGCATATCTTTATTTGTGTTCAACAAAAGAAGCTTACACAGCTAACAGGGTTATTCAACAAAAGAAAAAACTTGAAAACGCTTTTGAACAAGTAAAATTTGAGTATATTTTTTAAACTGAAAATGAAATGTGTAAATGAAATATCCTTTTTACAGTCCTACTGTAAGTTACTCAACAAAAGGCAATGTCAGAATCATAGCAAAACTGCGGTGATCATACATGAGTAGGTTTAGACCAAAAAAAGAAAAGAAAACAACATTATGGCCCACATACATCAAATGATCAAAAACTTGATTGCAGTCTACTACAAATTATTTGCGAGTATTCTATGCATTACAACATTTATAGGATCTGTTGTTGTCAAGTTTAGACTATTTTGTTTGTAATGTCACTTTTAAATAATTAAACCTTTGACTATTTACACTAAAAAAAAAAAAAAAAAAAAAAAAAAAAAAACTCCCTCATCATGTTAAATCTGCAAGCATGCACTGAGGTAAACCCAATTTTATGGTTACAATTGATTTTAAGGTGTCCTTGTTACAGTGTAACATCTGATTTAACTATTGAGTAAAAGTAATAAGTTAAATGTACTTACTGTAAGGTTAGTCAGAATGCAGAATAGGTTTAGGGCGAATTGCATGTAATTATGCATAAATAATTGAATATATCAAAGGACACCTTAAAATAAAGTTTTACTGATTTTATTTGCTACTTGAGATGAGGCATTGCATTTAAAATGTAATAGTGATTTGTCAGTTTTGTGATATTCTTGCCACTTCACTTACATACTCTCTAAGAACCGAACAATCCTGGGTGTGTATAGGAGGTACCAGTATTTCAATACGGAGTTAAAAAATGCAACAATACCAGTCTTTCCATTGTACTATTTGTTTTGTTTGTACTGAGTACAGATTTATAAGAAGTCAAGTCTGTGTCTTAACCTAGCAATGTCTTATTCTGTACAACAATGTCTGTTTTTAATAAAGTAACTGCTGATTTAAGGTTTAAGTCAACACAATTTATTGTCTCCACTAAATTAAGGGTGATCTTTAATGTGTAATCAGTTGAAATGGAAATGGAAAGTGTGAGAGCCATCTCAGGGATATTAGAAATTCATTAGCATACAGAGCACAGCTGTGACACAGGAGATCTGAGTTCAAGATGACCTTGAGTTCTGCTGAACCCAAGGTATATCTTTACAAAGAAACTTCATCAAAATCATCAACATATCCTAATTTAGGCTTTATTTATTTGACAAAATAACTTTGTGAAATAATATTCTAATTTAAAAGAGGGTTTTTCCAGAAACAGGTTTTATTAATAATCACTTTTTAGTAAACGAGCACCACCTATAAAAGCTTCATTTTCTTTTACAAAAAAATTAACATTTTCTAGAATTCCAGCTGTATGAATGTGTCAATGCCTGGTGTCCATCACAAATTTTAGCTATACTAGTAATGTTTGATCCTGTGAGGACATTTTGATTTGGCCCATAAAGAAAATGACTGATCCAGAACTAAGATTATTTTTAGACATTAAGGGTATGGTTGGGCCAAGAGAACAGAAAATATTGTACAGTCTGTACTCTATAATGATCATTATGTGTGTGTGTGTGTGTGTGTGTGTGTTCTTACCAGCACATGAGCGGCTCTAAACAGGTAGCTGAAAGGGTAGTAGAGCAGGTTGATGAATGATGCAGCGTAGAGATCAGCGTAACGCATCACCTGAGACGCAAACAGAGTCTGCCGAGAACCACTGCGAAACAGACTTCCCATCATTCCATAACACATGTCCATGTCATGTGTCACTTTCTGATGAGCAAAAACACAGAGACAATTACTGAGATCATTTTTATTAATATTTTGAATTAGATTATATTTGTTCTTGCAGTTGGAAGGGCATGCACCTCAGAAAAATATATGCCAGAGTAACTGCTTTCAGCTGAAAGTGAGTGAATGTGATTATTTCCAGTGTTCGTTAGTTACTGCTTATATAGTTATTTTAGTATATATTTTGCTCTGCCAACAAGATTTAGGTATTACAAGGTCTTCTCAAGGCTTTTTTTTATTTAATTCAATGGTACATCACTCAATGTACCAATTGGTGGCATACAGTTGAAGACAAAATTATTAGCCCCTTTAAAGTAATTCTTTTCAAACATTTCCCACATGATGTTTATCAGAGCAAGGGTTTCTGTTCATTTTCTATGTTTCTCTTCAGTTCAAGTCAATCAATTGTCTACAAAATTACAACTGCTGTAGAATAACTTGCCTATACTTATCTAGGTCAATTAGGTTAACAACACAAGTTAGGTTCAACATATAAATTGTGCTTTAAGATGAATATTAGTGACCACCAAATATTACGTATGGTCATTGTGGCAAAGACAAAAGAAGGTAGTTATTAGAAATAAGAAAACATTTTTTTTTTAAATGTGTTGAAAACAATTCTCTCTCCATCAAACAGCACTTGGAAAACATTTGAAAAGATTTTAGGTTTCACAGGAGGGCTAATAATACAGTCTTTAGCTGAACGTGACATGCTACTGATTACCAAAGACATAAACTAAATGGATAAGCCTTCTATGTTGCCATTCCATGTGTATTAACTGTTACACAATTTCCTGTTCATTCATGTCAATAATGTGATGATTGAAGTGAGATTGAGCTACTGACATGGTTAAAAAAACAACCCAGAACATTTTTAAACTACAAACTGTTTTAGGAAACTTTGTAAGTACTTACTGTAAATTAAAATATAACGGAAAGAGGTCAGATCACAATAGGAATATAAGAAATGCAAAAGTGTGATTATTTGTGTGTGTGTGTGTGTTTATTATACCGCTGGGATTAAATGTTCCAGGATTGTTAATATTGCAGGGAAGAAACTTGTTTCTTATTAAAACTATTAAATAATGTTTATGTAAAAATGCAGGAATAGGTTTAGGGGCAGGCTTTGGTGTGTGTATATGCATGTTCCTTGTGAGGACCAAATGTCAATTGCAACCTTGTGGGAACAATTTGTATTGATGAAAACGGCTCATAAATCAAACAAAATGAATTTTATAAAAATATAAAAATGCAAATTGTTTCCTGTGAGGGTTGGGATTAGAGATAGGCGAAAGAATATACAGTATTTATATTATAAAAAATCATTAACAAATATAGCTTTACAAAAATGTCTGTGTGTGTACCTTCATTCTTCTCTGGATGGCACTGATATCTGGCCTCTCATTGCTGCTACTGTCCAAATGCCTACAGAAAGAAAGAATGTTAGTGAGAGAAAAGCAGAGTCTGAATGTAAAAACAAAGAAGTGAAGAGGAGGATGGGATGGTATCAGTTGGAGTCAGAAATGGAGTGTGAGCTCCAAAGTCGATGTCAAGGTTTAAAAATAACTGCTTATCAGCAGGTGAACTCTCTCACTCTGTGCCCCACACAGCCGACTGGTGCACCAGTCAGAACTGAGCAAACAGTGAATCCATTTATTCACCATTTATTTCTTTACTTTGTGTGTTTTTTTTTTTTAATTTTTAAATTTTTTTTTTACCTTTGTTCAGTTTCACTTCGTTTTAGAATATGAAGGATACAGAAAACTCTCAAGATTCAGAAATAAACCTCCGATAGACATCATCATATTCTCAACATGTTTTATTTCCAAAACATATTACATTTAATATTAGATATTATACTATATCAATAAATAAAAGCTTACCTAGACCTTCTTTAATTTTGATTATGACAGATGAAAAATAAAGGCAGTTCAACTAGATTCTACATACAGTATAGCTATTCAAGCAGGCTATTCAAAATTATTGTTGACAAACCTAATCCGCATACTTAATCAACAGACAGTCTTCACGTAAACACTACCGATTACTTTTTATCGAGTTTTAATTTGTTGTTTTGAGCAGGAAAGTTTGCATTAGTTCTAGAACTCATTGCTAGCTACAGTGTATGTTTTGTTTTATTTTCAGATTAATCTTGCATTACTAATAAATCAACAACAGACAACTATAAAGAATTTAAACTATAGGATAAATATTTTGTCATATATTACTATTGCGCCGGGTGTTTGATAGAGCCTTTAGTGATGCATGAAACTGAAACCAGTGTTGATGTATGGTAGTATGGTAATTCTATTTTTTAATTAATGAATTAATTACATTTAGTAACAATGCATTTAACTTGGCTACATATTACCATGTATGTGCTTAGTTGATTTGGTGAATATACAGTTAACTGAATCATTCTATTTAGAATCATGAAACTGAAATCAGTGTTGATGGCTGTTAAGATCCTCTTGTGTCAGTCTACTATACCTCCTCTGGTGGCATATAACAGAATGTTTCTAACTTTAAAATCTTATACTATTTGTTTGGTTGAAATTGGCAATTTTAGTTAGGGTCACATTTAGGCCAAACACTATTACAGAACAGCATTCTCTAAGTGTGTTATCTTAACTACGGATAGGTATTACAGAAATGTCCTAACTTGACAAATAAACAAAAACACACAAACTACACACTCTTAAGTTCAGAGCACAGCAACACCTGCCCTAACTTATGAAAGGTTAATGGGGGAAGAACTCTTATAGAAGAAGAACACTTATAGTTACACTGTTCAACAATGGCATTGCATTTATTGATGATTGAAACTAAAGAACAGAGATGTTTAATGGTAAAAAGTCTCTTGGAGGACCCCAAAAGGGTTACATATCGAGGACAAAGCACTTATGCAATTACAGACGGTCACACAACATGATAGCGCAGGAACTGCAACCAGCATTACAGAGACCAAAAAAGCATCATGGAGCATTACCAGTTTCAGTGCAAGCAAAGAGCACAGAATCCCCAAGAGGCAACACTTTAGTGCAATTTAGGAAACACAACTGCAGCCATTTTGGAATGAAAACTCCAATAGAACAACAGCATATTATTCATTCATTTTCTTGTCGGCTTAGTCCCTTTATTAATCCGGGGTCGCCACAGCGGAATGAACCGCAAACTTATCCAGCAAGTTTTTTTACGCAGCGGATGCCCTTCCAGCTGCAACCCATCTGGGAAACATTCAAACACACACTCATACACTACGGACAATTTAGCTTACCCAATTCACCTGTACCACATGTCTTTGGACTGTGGGGGAAACCGGAGCACCCGGAGGAAACCCACGCGAAGGCAGGGAGAACATGCAAACTCCACACAGAAACGCCAACTGAGCCGAGGTTCGAACCAGCGACCATCTTGCTGTGAGGCGAACGTGCTACTACAGCATATTATAAGTCTGTAAAATAAACTATTAAAAGTGCTAATGATAGTGATAATAAGTGTTGTATTATTGTCTTTCAGGTTATATCTCAGCTTTAATGCGCTTTTTAAATAAATACATAAAAAACAAAGCAGCTGCTTGCCATCGCGACAGCAGTAAGATCCAATGGACAGCTGATTGCTTTCACTCTAAAATGGGAGAATCCGGGGCTGTTGCTGGGTGCTGCTGTTGTAATGAAATGTTCTATTGAGTGTTGCCTCTCGGTCATTCTAAGCTCTTTGGTGCAAGTGACTAAGGGCTTATGGTTTTTTGTTTGATTTAGATTTTTTTTTAAATCAATTTTGTTAATGCTAACTCATTAGCAGCTCCTGCAGTCTTGTTGTTTTGTAACAGAGTAGATTGTCGAACTTGATGTCACAATTTAACAAATCCTAACTCAAGATAAGACCAGATAGGATTAAAATCTTCTGTAATATGAAATTGTGAAAAATCCTAATTTAATTTATCATTACTAAAGTTAGGGCTGAAGATAAGAAACTTTCTTTAATCTGTCCTTTGCAACATCACATTTAAAAAAAAATAGCTGTTCAGTTCTAGTTCTAATACAATAACTTTTTTTTCTACTATTTTCAGTTTTAAATATTGAATTTTGCCACTTCATGAGACACACACAAACACACACATTGATGAACAAAGGCAGCATTACTCACTTGTATAGTTCTGCCAAGAAAATGTCCAAACCCTGAAGTTCCTCGAACAGAGCTGTGAATGAGAGGGCAGAAACCTGTCATGACTGGGTTTCACATGGCTTTTTCTTTAGCCTATCAAGTGTGAACATTTCATCCCACTCTCTTTTTTCCTTCAATCACTGTGTAAGCATTCCTTTCTTTATTGAGCTGCTCACAAGAAGGCTTATTTCACACTATTAGCATTTAACAATCACAGGGTTTCTAATGTGTAATAAAACTGCAATGCAGAAAATAAAGCCGTTTCTAGCTTGAACAAAACTAAGAATTCTTATTTTAAAGGAAGGGTATAGTGAAACATGTTTTGTTATGCTGGTTACCCATAATGCACTGTAAGGATTTGCACAGTCTATACTTCAGTGGAGATCAGAGCTGCTGGATTTACAGCGTGATAATTCACCATTTTTCTCCTGAAATACATTAAACTAAGTGGTTGTTTAGATGGGAGAGGAATAGAGTAAACGTTACCATAAACTGTGCATCGAATAAAATACAAACACTGGTGTAATCTTATGCTTTACAGACCAGCCTAGGCTGATCACACCAATGTGATTATATGCATGAAAAGGCTAAAAATATGTATGTTGACACTTACAGCTTTTATCAGTCCACACATGCAGCTCCTGAGCCAATTCAGGAATCACCAGGAACGTTCGCCAACCCTGTCGCTTCTTGGACTTCAGGATATCTCCAAAAATATGATCCCCAATGTACAAAATATCCTTTCCTTTTGCTCCGAGCAGATCACACACAATATCAGAAGAACCTGAACAGGGATCATAGCACACAATACTTTTTTAGAGACTGACACTCTGAATGTCTGCAGCATATTCAATTTAATTAAATTTTTTATTTATTTGCTCATCCACTGTGATATTATTATGACAACTAAGCATCAGCAATGTGTTAAATGTTTATCATAGCACAATTTATTCCAATCAGTATAATTGTCAAAGTCTTCACATATTATGAAAATGCCTTTTTTATTATAAATATATCTCCAATTAAAAAGCCAATTAAAAACAATTAAACACTCTCACAGGTTTTGTCAGCAAATTATGCATTTGTGAATCAGTTGTAGGAATCTTACACTAACAGCTAATACTCATCAACAAAATATGTTTCAATGCCCTTAATGATCTGTGAGTTTCTGTTTGTGTGTCTGCATCTTTATCCAAGAATTTCCAGTACCTCCAGAGTATACAATGCCATGTTGTAAAGGTCCAGTGTACGTCCCTATCTTCAGCCGCCCTGTGGTCTGGGATAGAGAACATATTGAATAATATTTAAAAATCCTGAATGTTCATTTCATGTACAGCACTTCAATGGTTCTAAACAATAAACAAGGTTCTACTATGGGCCAAAGCACATTTCCGACAAGCTGTAAATTCTGAAAAGTTTTCAAAACTCTTAAGAGGCCTTATTACGGGTTTTTGAAAATGACCTTCCATGCTGTGTGTAACACAGCACTAGGCTAATGAAAACATCCAGCTGAGGTGTAAATCTGAAAGTGCACCGTCATTAAAATTATTGATTCTTTAACGAAATAGTCGAATAAATGAATGGTGTTGGGTTCTGATATTTTGCCTAAATGCAAATACAATACATTTCCAAATGTGAAATGACGGATCCAGTAAAACAAGATCGTGCCTTTCCCTTCAGACACTAGTGGAGTGAGGGGGATCAAAGGACAGATTATGACACGAAGATCACGATCACTGACAAATGGAGATTTGGATGTCGGGAATAAAGGGTTAAAGTTCACACCACAGTATAGTATAGTGCTATGCTTGTTCCTGTCGTTTTCCTAGTGATTGATACAATATCCTACACTGCAATGCGAGACTCATTGGCCATTTGCTATTAAAGGAAGGAGCAGCAGAGACTATTATGTATGGGACTTTGTCGGACTGTTACAGTTCATATGGACCAGTTTCTTCTTCCTCCGTATCATAACATATTAGTGTAATTAAAATGGTTTCCTCATTTTATGTAGTTTGCAAAATATGTATTTAATTGTGTGTTGTAACTAGTAATCACTCATCTATTATAAATCAGTGCTTGTACTGCATTTCTCAGGTTAAATCTGTATGGCGCTGTTCACATAATGCGTTCAAAACGACGATGAAAATGTGACACGTGCTTCTTTCTTTACTGATTTAAATGTCTTTCTGTTTTCTGTCGTTTGTCTTAGCTATGGCCACCATCAGCTGTTACTACACATGCACAGCATGGTCAATTTTCAAAATAGTTCAACTTTTGCCACTGTGTGGATTACTACTGAACGAGTGTCGTTGTTAATACTTGGGGTTGTGGTTAAGAATAGAGGAATATGCTGGTGTTTAACTGCATTGCTTTAATACACTCCTATATTGGGCTCTCATTTACTCTGTGCGACTTCATAATTGTGGGGGGCATTTATCTTTCTGTCTCACGCTGAACCCAGTTGACCAATCACAACAGACTGGGCAATTGGACTAAAAACAGCAGACTAGTCTCATGCAAAGTAGGGGTTTGGGAACAAATGAATCCCTGAACAATTTGTTTAAGATCAGAAAAGACAAGTCACAACAAATGTGTCTCAGCTAAAAACTTAATTTTGCAAATAAATGAATGAGAAAATTGCCATTTAAATAGGTGATAAAAAATAAATATGTCCAAATGCAGATAATTCTGGGATTTAATTATGTGTATTTATTTTGAAATATTTTATATATTGTGACTCTTAGTAACTAAATATACTTTAAGTTTATGCATTACAGTTAGTTAATTTGCAGCACAAATAAATAATAAGTGAACATTCAAAGGGTAATTCACAAAACTTCAATTGTGTCTGCTGAAATAACTGTTTATGTGCACAAACACATGTCTGCACTGTTTTAGCCTCAGAGTCACTAAACAAATTATGTAAATCAGGTAATGATGCAAAAGCAATTTTGCCCTACTCAGATTAGATCAGTGCAGCAAGTTCTGTCCTGACTACAAACAGCGAAAAAGCTGAATATTTATGCACAATTATGCAAATCTTTCAGCCAGTTCTTTAGTGCAGATTGCAGTGAAATGTACTGGATACAGACACATTTTTTCACTATAATCTTTCTCTTAGAATTGCCTGAACAGTTTAGCACCTTACATTCTCACAAAAAAGGTAGGAGAGCTGTAAACAAGGGCAGTACTGTTTCAAAAGACACAAGTTTGCACCTAAAGGGTCTATATTTGTACCTAAAAGAGGTACACTTAGTACTTTTTACATACTAATGTGCACTCTTTAGGTACAAATATGGACCATTCAGGAACAAATGTGTACCACCCCAAAGACAGCTCTCCTTTATTTCTGAAAGTGGCACTGTACAGGGAAGCTGTAAAAGGAACGACAGGAAAGAGTTTTCCTCTCTAATTAGCTGTACTCTGCTCAGCAGACTAACAGTATGAATGTTCCACACTCAGCGCTGACAAACTCTCTGAGTGTTCGCGTTCAGCAGGATAAAATGTTCCAGAACGTGCAATACTACACCTGCTGACTGAGTGTCTGTTTCTGTGGTGCTATGTACCCACCGTATCCACCTGTCTCAGAACCGTTCCCTCTCCAAAAAATAAAGGCTTTCGGGCATCCACTAGGATGAGGTCGAAGTACGACTGCCATGGACGATGTGGAGTGCCATGCTATAACACAAAAGATTATTATGAGCAATTTATGACAGTAAACCTATCTAGAAATGTTTATCAGAAGACTGAAAAAAGTTATACCTTTGGGCCATGGGGGAAGTCAAACAAGTATGTCATAATTTTCTGTAAAACAGACAAAATAAAAGCTGAGTTTGTTGACAGATTTCTTTATAGAAATGGCTTCACGAGGCAGATTGTATGCATGTCCAAATATGTTTTTTTCTTTCACTGATCAAATACCTAGTGAGCTGCAAACAGAGAGACTTTAAGAAGAATCATAAGCTAGGTTGTGAGGTAAAGCTGTGTGTAAAAGACTTAAAAGATTTAAGGCTGATTTATACTTCTGCGTCAAGTGCACGCTTGTGGTCAGGTGCAGCCTTCGTGTGGTCACATAGCCCTCGCCATGGCTGACGCTGACACACACCTCTCAAAAAATTTAAATACTTGTTATAAATGTAAATACTTGTTATAATTACATAGCACAAGCTCTGTGACTGGTCGGCTTGGTAGCGCTGATGAGTGTGGGCAGGGCCGAGAGCCATGCAAACCCGTTGGAGCGAGTGTATACAAGTGTCGAGTCCCATGAAGGAGCTCCATTTAAGGTTCATTAGTTAATGCATTTACTAACATGAAATAATCATGAACAACACATCTACAGGATTTAATAATCATATATGAACATTTACTAATGCATTAATAACATCCGAGTCCATGCTTGTTAACATTAGTTAATGCACCATGAGTTAACATGAACTAACAATGAACTATTGTATTTTCATTAACTAACGTTAACTAACATGAACAAATACAGTAGTAGATGTATTGTTCATTGTTTGTTTATCTTAGTAAATGCATTAATTAACATTACCTAATGAACCTTATTTTAAAGTGTGACCAAGTTTTGTTCAGTGTTTACCTTATGATTAAAGGTTGCATGTCCGCCAGTTCCCACATATGAGCGAGTTTTAGCAAATTTTACATGGGGGTAGAGTTCAGAAAAAAACAAAATACCAGCGAAGAATATAGACACAGAGAAACATAAAAACCTACTGCCATCTAGTGTTTTGGAAGTGTTACTGTAGAGCAACACAAACAGCACACAGAGGTATAAATGCAGGAAATGCACAAGGCATGCGCTGTGGGTCACGCAGATCACTCGACATAGAAGTATAAATCAGCCTTTAGATAAACTGACATTTGCTAACAAATAAATAAAAGTGTACTCAATGTTTTTTATTATTCGGTGAATATGTTCATATAAGTACACAGGAGAAACTGGTGAAAAATGCTATAAGGAAAAAATGGTAAAAATAGTGATGACTTTAAAAATGTAAACACTGAGTTCACAAAAACTTTCCAAAAGACTTTCAGGAGCGATAAAGTCAAAAAGTTGTGAATACGACATAGAAACTACTAGAGCTGTGGTAAAAAAAAAAAAAAATCATTCAAGAAATCGATTCAAAGATTTTCAAAATATTCTTTCCTAAATAGATTCTGAGCTTAGTTTAACCATGCACTTAAATGCTCACGAGAAAGAGAGTGTATGTGTGTGTGTGTGTGTGTGTGTGTGTGTGTGTTGGGATGACTCATTTAAGCTGGATTTTATGTCACAAGATTAAGACAAAAACAGCTCATTATGAACATTCTTTTGATTTGCTAAAGCCTTTCCTAATTTTATTAATGATTGATTTATGTTCAAGTGGTATTTTTAAGAAATCGCATTCAAGCACAGTATGGTTATTTGTAAAGCGTATAGCACAATCTAGTGTTAAAAAAAAGCTCAGAATCCTTTCATGAGAGTATAGCAGCGCTGCATTTTGAAAATCTGATTTCTCAAATAATTTTCCATCAAAGCTCTGTAAAATAAATTCCAAAAATATAAAAATCGCATGTCTATCACTCACAGCACTGTTTCCATCTTTCTGAAATTCAACAAGACATCCATCATGGCTGAGATTGATTATAATCATTTTAAGCAACAGTTGTATTTGTTACACGCGTATGTGCATGCTAATTATTTGACTGTGTACATATGAGGTTAAATGTAAAACTTGACATGTAAACCATTCCAAATCTGTCATTTTTTAGGTTTTCTTCTCATTAGCATGCTAAGATGTGTCCATGTTGCTAATATGTATTCAGGCAGCTCACTAGTTTCTAAAAGAGTTTTTATATGCTTGTTTGCATCAATAAACTCACATGTGTGTACTTGTAGTCACTGTTGGTGGCTAAGAAGACTTTGGAGACTTCATTCATACGGCTCAGCAGCAATGGCAACTTTGCCTTTAGATAAATAAAGCAAAATTATTCTCAGGATTGCAATTACACTGTAAACTGCAAACTGTAATACAAAAAGTTCAACTTACATCCTTTACAACGTACTTCTCCAGGTTTTCCACTGTTTTCTCCTTCAGTGTTCCCTGAAGAAACAAACAAAAATAAAACATAAAATAAAACAAAAATTTACATGTTTATTTATTTGGTTTAGTTTTTTAAAACAATAACACATTAAGGGCTCTATTTTGACAATTCATGCGCAAAGTGCAGGGCGCAAAAGCAATTAGGGCGTGTTGGAATCCATTTTTGCTGATTAAAGGAAGCTTTGAAAAAATCCGCTTTGCGCCTTGGCGCATAGTCTAAAAGGGTTGAGCTTATTTTCTTAATGAGTTATTGGTGTGTTTTGAGAATAAACCAATCAGAGTCTCATCCCTCATTCCTTTTAAAAGTCAGTTGCGTTGCGCCATAGCACATTTGCTATTTACATGATGGACTTAGGAAGTGGAAAAACTGAGCATTTCACAAGCAACAAACAGTTTAACAGAGTTAAATTGTTATGAATAAACTGAAAAAGCCCCCCAAGATGAAGAAGGCATGAAAGTGAAAGTATGGTTTTTATATTTATGTAGGCTAAAAAATATTTTGTTTTGTAATATTTTAATCCTTTATATTTATATGCTATAGGCTATATATCCTTATTATATCCTATATATATATATATATATATATATATGTATATATATATATATATATATATATATATATATATATATATATATATATATATATATATATATATATATATATATATTAGTGCTGTCAATCTTTTTTTTTTTAATTTTTAAAAAAAATTAACTAATTAATCTCACTTTTTTTTTTTAATTAATCGCAATTAATAGCATTTAAAAGACTGATACTAGTAATTTTGGTTATTCGAGTGTACAATTAATGTAAACGCAAGACAAATGCTGTTTAAATTCAAAATATAATTCATTATTAGAACTTTTGTTTAACTTGTAACACAGATTTCTTCATGTAAACAACATACCCACAATAAACCATCAAGATCCTGCTTGACAGTTATATTTATTACAGAAATAAAACCACAGGCATGTTAAAGCCATTTGAATTTCAAAACAATCAATGCTAATAAAGAAAACATTGATTTCCATATTGGATTCTAAGTGGACTGCAAAAAATGCCAAAATACAGGAATTGCAGATATGGAAATATATAATAATAATAATAAAGTATAGAAAATCTGTGCATGCCCTTGAATAGGTTTACCAACTTCCATTCTATAAAAGCACAAAAGCCATATATATGAACTAACGAGTTGACAAATAAAAAAAAAAAAAACTACTTTTTTTATTTATTTATTATTAAAATAAAATTATAATCCACACTGGAAATGTGGGTGCCTGTGTGTTTTGAGGGAGCCTAATAAATAATGAACATAACAAAAACTGCCTACTAACGCACACAGTTAATGTTGATTAATAAAATAAAGATAAATAATAAAAGCAACGTGTCTCAACCCTAAAAAATGTTTAACTGAACAATGAAACATCAAACGTAGCTAACAGCTTTTACATTGTCAATCAAATGAACTTAAACAATTAAAAAATGCAACAAATATTTGTTTGGACAGAAATACAAAACTAAATGTAAAAAAAAAAAGTTGCTTAAGTTGCACACTCGTTTGGTCATGTATAAATATCATTATAATATCCATATTGTATAAATATTATTGTCACTATAAGCCTACATCAGGGGTGTCGAAACTACGGCCCGCGGGCCATCTGCGGCCCGCAATCAGTTTTATGGCGGCCCGCGAGGCTTTTTATAAATATCAATAGCATCTGGCCCGCTATACAAAAATGAACGTAATGCGTACATGCATTTAATTAAGCAGCAGTTCTTGTTATGATCTATCGATCTATCTATCTATCTATCTATCTATCTATCTATCTATCTATCTATCTATCTATCTATCTATCTATCTATCTATCTATCTATCTATCTATCTATCTATCTATCTATCTATCTATCTATCTACACAGTTGAAGTCTGAATTATTTGCCCCTCTTTGATTTATTTCTTCTTTTTTAAATATTTCTCAAATGATGTTTAACAGAGCAAGGACATTTTCACAGTATGTCTGATAATATTTTTTCTTCTGGAGAAAGACTTATTTGTTTTATTTCGGCTAGAATAAAAGCAGTTTTTAATTTTTTATGAACCATTTTAAGGTCAAAATTATTAGCCCCTTAAGTCTTCAGAACAAACCATTGTTGCCTAATTAAATTGCCTAATTACCTTAATTTGACTAGTTTACTTAACTAACCTAGTAAAGCATTTAAATGTCACTTTAAGCTGTATAGAAGTGTCTTGATAAATATCTAGTCAAATATTATTTACTATTGTCATGGCAAAGATAAAATAAATTAGTAATTAGAAATGAGTTACTAAAAGTAATATGTTTAGAAATGTGTGTGTGTGTGTGTGTGTGTGTGTGTGTGTGTGTGTGTGTGTGTGTGTGTGTGTGTGTATGTACAACACATAAACACAATGTCATGATATCTCATGCGCTTGTCTTCTGAACGAGTGCATCTTAAAATACATGAATGACCCCTCATAGATCGTAAGAAGCAGGCATTCTTTATAATTTGTAAAATAAAGACTTGCAGGTTGAGGAAACAGCATAGGAATTTTCCGCGCCCGTGGTGCAGATTAAAAGTTTAAAAAAGTATATTTATATGGACAGATAGGTAACTAGATAGAATAGACAGGAGTAAATTGATCTGTGCCCCGCTGCAGAGTGCAGACAGACGCAAAAGCCTGCTCTCCCGCGGCGCGGACCGGCGCGTAAAGAAGGTCGCACACGGCAGCGCCGCGCAGCGCCATGTATTTTAGAATTCTAAACATAGGTTTCTATCAGGATACACACACCGGCGCCGCAAGTCAGCGGCTGGACGCAGTTCATTTTTCAGCCGCGCCACAGAGCATCATCTGATTAGTTTCATGTTAAATATCATTCAAATGTGCGCGTCTGGTGTGTGATACTTTAAACTGTCATGTGCGCGCCGTGTCGCGGCGCCGAGCGGCGCTTCTGGTGTGCGACCTGCTTAAGAAACAGGCGGGACTCTCTGCTATTTTGACGAATACACACCAACGTTACACAGAGCCCAACATGGAAGTTTGTGATTGGGTCAGCCCAATGTCAATAAAGAAAAGAACCAATGGGCTGCAGATTATGTCACACGGCTGCTTTGTCCGGAAAAGAAACATCTCACTTTCAGAGCGTGACAGCTAGCAGCACCGTCAATCACTCAGGCAGAAAAACATGACAGTCTGCTGAGTGTTTTATGGGCCGATCAGTTCATAAGCAGATGATCAGCCCGGCCCAAAAAGTAAGTTGAAACAGCGGGAAATTGCCGGGTCTGCCCCTGGCCACAACAGGAAAAAAAAATGCGTTAATTGCGTAAATTTTTTTAACGCTTTAATTATTTAAAATTAATCGCATGCGTTAACACGTTAATTTTGACAGCGCTAATATATATATATATATATATATATATATATATATATATATATATATATATATATATATATATCCTTAATATTTAAATTATTTTTACTTTTTAAAGATATTTGTGTACTGTTGTACATCCTGTCTGTATTAAGCAATGTGTAACCGAGGCGCACAACTAACGCGTTCTGCGCTGGACATTAGACTGGCTTTGTTCTGGTCTATTGAACAATCTATTACAGTTTCTCAAAATAGCAATGCGCCAGCAATAGCCCCTTTCACACATACAGACCTTTCCGGAAAATTGCCGGCAATTTTCCGGAAAGGTTGTATGTGTGAACAGGTCCTTTTTGAAAATACCGGTAAATTCGTTCTGGCTATTTTCCGGAAGGAGAAGTTGTAACATTACCGGCAATTTGCCGGAATGCTGCGCTGTGTGAATGCAGAAGGAAGATTCCCGTAATAAGCGCGTGCACGTCTAGAACGTGCTGACGTGAGACGTCTGCTTTAGCCAATCACAACAGTCAGACGCATTTACGTCCACGCGGTTTGTGAGGATAAAAGCCTTTGAATATTTTTCCAGACACATTTAGCTGCTAGAAGTTAGTCAGATCACGTTTATATGTTCTTCTTAATGCCAACTGTGTAAATAATCATCGATGAGATGCTTATGATAAGCCGTTGTTTGTTTACGTTCGTGTGCCTGTGAAACAGCCTGTGAGCGCCAGCACACGCACATATTATGAACATCTCGACATGCGAAAGTGATCTTGAGAAAGTTGTTCACAATATCGATCATCCACAGAGTTTGTAATTTAGTCAAATGTTTACAAATACAAGCGCAGCCGTTTAAAACTCATTTGTGGTGAATGATGTCAGAATTTACCGGTATTTTGGAATGGATGTGTGAATGCTCTTTTCCGGAAAATTTCCGTAACGTCCTTGCCTGTGTGAACAGCGCTTTTTTGAACATACCGGTAAAGTCGTTCCGGAAATTTTCCGGATATTTACCGGTATCACTGTGTGAAAGGGGCTATAGCGCCTCAACCCGCCTCCTTTTTTAGACCAGAACGCCAATGGGCGCATTTATGAGCGCAAATGCGTCAAAACGTCAAAACGACTCTTGCGCCAAGCTGAAACTAGCAAACAACTATTGCATCATGCCTTGCACCGCATTGCGCTGGATGTATGATAGGGCCCTTTGTCTTGGTTAAATTTGTAAGAAAAAAAAAAAAGATGTACAGGTAAAGACCTGTAGCCTGTGAAATTGTAATTAATTTTCAAATGTTTTCCAAATACTGTTTAAAAAAGGATAAATTTTTAATAACAGTTTTAATAAGTAATTTATAATAACTATTTTATATTTTTGTCTTTGCCATGATGGTAGTACATACCACTTTAGTAGCGATTTTGCAAGATACTAATATTCAGTCAAAATCCCAACTTAAAGGTGTAACTAGGTTAATAAGATTAACTAGTCAAGTTCAGTTTATTGGGCAAGTCAACACTTCTTTGTTCTGTAGCCAGTCAGAAAAAGAGGCTAATAATTATTACCCCTAAATTATTTAAATTGTATTATTATTTAAAACTTTATTTTCCCCAGCCAAACAGAAAGAAATAAGCCTTTTCACAAAAGAAAAAATAGAATAGGAATACAGTGAAAATGTCCTTGCTCCGTTAAACATCACTTAAAAAAAAAGAGAAGAATTTCTTAGGAGGGCTAATAAATTTGCCTTCAACTATATGTTTTGTGACTTTACTTGGAAAATGTCCAATACCACATTGTGGTTTAACTGCTCACTGTGTGTGCATATACACTATGGTATGTTTAGCAGCTGAGAACTCATGAAGAGTTTATAAATTGTGCTAAGAAGTCAAAAAAGCAGTGTCTTCAATGCAGAGGGTATATTGTATACATAATGTGATA